AAAGTTTGTCATTTGTTTGGACACCTGTATCTTGAGAACTTGTAATCATTTCAAAAACTTATCTACTAAACATTTGTTGCAAATTTTAAGCTGCCCAACTTTGTAGTTGATCATTTCGCTTCAATGTGTTCTATTCTTGAGCTGTGACAAAAAGTACGTCAAGGCCTCAAATCGCTGAGAAATTTAGTTGTAATTCGTACAGGTGTACTCCAAGTGGATCACGTGTAGATTTTGCAAAAAAGAGGGAAAACGAGTTTTTGGGGGGTGAGAGTCTCTGCCGAGTGCTGCGTCACTTTAATCCAATTTGTCATTGGAGCCCTTCTACTTTTCTACTTTTTCTCTACAACCCTTTTTGCCCTGAGAAAAAAATGGAGAGAATGTGAACACTGTGATGAGAAAACAGGCAAATCTCGGTCATGTTTGCATTTCATGACTGTACTAGAAAATACGGCAAGCAAGAAACGAAAGTGTTTTTCATGTCTGGAAAAGATCGGTGCAGATCAAAAAGATTGGGAGGTGGCTCGGGTACACTCACTTGTTTGTTCAGGCTTAGCACTTGTCGGTTCCGCTGGTTTCGTTTGCTCAAACGGACGGAGCAAGCTTCGAATGATCACTTTGTGATCAGACATTCAGTTATTCTCGCACAACACGAAATTACGTACTCTTTTCAACATATTTTCTGAAATCGACGAATGTTTTGTGTTGCCTACATTATTAGCTCAGAAAATGATCAAAACATCAGTAATTGGCTCAAAATTTGAGTCGAGTAGGGTAGAGCGAAAATGCAAACGAAACCTGCTGTGAGCGGTGATCCGACGTACGGTTATTGTCGCGGAACACGAAATTATGTACGCTTTTCAAAAATTGACGAAAATCGAGTAGTTTTGGCTTAGAATTCGGAAAAAGTTTGCATTTTCCGCGCCGCAGAGTCCGGTAGAGCGCGCATTCAAACCAAGCCCCGCCCCTACCACATCTGTCAAAACTGACTCAAAAGGAACGCTGGAAAATAAGTAAATATCAGAGAATGATGGATGACTTCGGGCTTGACGATGTCTGGCCGAGTCAGCTTGATATATTTGAGGGTTATTGAACCCGAGGAGGTGGAAAAAGTCGGAAGACGAGTATATTTCAAAAACACGTTTATTCGGATCGAATAATAGTTAGAAGAAATACTGGACAGAATAATGCGAGGAACGCATTAACTAGGCTACAAGCTAACAGTCGTAAACTTTGGTGTTTGCGGCACCGAGAGAGTGTGTGCGCAGAGAGAAAAAGGTAGGAGAGGAAAAGCAAGAGTTTTGTGTGTATCAGAGAGAACACAACACAGCTCAAAAGAAAAAATGGGATAGGCTCTCTCCAGAATTCAGAATTCAGAAGGCTTCTCCGAATGAGCGAAAAAAAACATGGGAGGAAGGGAGAAGATGAATGTAAATGAAAAACCGACAATATTGAAATGTGACGTCTTCGGGGAGATTCATCAATGGTAAGCTCTGGAAGATGATTCCGGAAATGGAAATGGAGAGAGTCGGAACGTAAAAGTTAAGGGGTGGAAATCGAATAAAAAGTTTTTTTTTATCTTTTATGGTTTCACTCACAATCAGTCGAATGGAATGATGAAAGTGAAAGTGAAGTTAAACCTTCTCTTTTCCAACAAATTCGCTTCGGTTAGATGTGTTCATTTTGAGCCAACAGCCGAAATTTCCAAACATTTTTCAGAAGGGGAAACAGAAATCCGGACGAAAACAAGAGAAATGTATGAAAGCATCGTGAAATGCAAGGCGACCATGTTTTCTCTTGAATTGGCGATGAGCACCGTTTTCAATCAAAAATCATACCAAACGGCAACGCCAGTTTTTTAAGAAAAGAAAAAAAAAGAATCGAAGAGGTGCATTCATTCAACCTTGGCCTAATCAGACATTATCATGGGTTTTTATAGTGTTCGTTGAAGCGGACAACGAAAAATTTTTGAATTTTAATCAGAATCTCATCAGTATCAACCAAGAATCCTCCCCCGCGTTCAGACTAGACAGATGATGATCATAAGCGAGAAAAGAGCGAAAAATGAGGATCAAGTTTCCAAGATGTGTCACTTTTTCCCTTCAAAAATATGTGGAAAAAGAGGAGGAGGTTAGTGAATTTGATACTTTAGAGTGCACGAGTGTCCGGAATGAGTTAAGTTAGCACATCAAGAGGGGTACGATGGAGAACGGCAAGCGCGGTCTACCGAACTAGTCGTGGCAGTGGCGAGTGCGATTGCTGCGAACATGCAACATGTTCTACATATGGCTTGACATCATAAAAGTGCTGATGTTTTTTGTCGGGAGCTTTTCGAGTGGAGCACACGCAGATTGATGATGAGCACGCAGCAACTGTCTCTCTGCGTCTCTCTCCCGCCCGCGCTCTCTCGCCGCTCTGTCACAATTTTTGGCGAAACGAATCGGAGTGAAGGTTGCAGATTGGTTATTTTTCAAGAATTCATCGAGGGAAATGATGATTTTTTTTGCCGGCGGGAATTAGTACGTGGCGTCGCGGTTCTCAAATTCGTCGCCAATCGCCGTCATTTTTATCTCAAAATGTTTGCCGAAAACAAATGTCTACAGCGAAAGTCCGGCAGGGCGGATAACTGTCTATTTTCGTGTACAAAATGTCTCAGTTGGCTGAGGGCGGTAACCTAATGGATAAGAACTAAAACTGGGACATACTAGTTTTTTTTTCTATTTTGTCCTGTTTTGAATTGGGTTTGTGAGCTGAAAAATCGATATTTTTCTCGATTGAATAGTCCAATCGAATGAGAATTGAGAGAAAACTTGAGTGCTCGGCTCTCAAAGCCTTTGGAATCTTCCGGAAGACGTTCTGGACGAGATTCTGAAGGTACTGAGAGCACTGATCTCGAGCTTACCTGATGAAACAGCCGGTGGGTCCGAAATCGGAGTAATAGAGAATGGGTTGTTGTCGACAAGCAAGTATTTTCTCTTCAACCTCTTCCGGTCCTCTCCGTTTTTTTCTTCGCCAGATTTGCCTTGCGCGCGCACGGCCTCCGGCACGAGAAATGTGCCAGCCGGATCGCGAAACGCGCATACTCAGCCGTCTCTCATCTCTAACGCATGACCGTAGAGCGCGCTTGCATTATCCATCAAAAAATTTCTTGTTCAAAACGAGAAAGCTGTCGGCGGCATGGTTAACACAAAAAATAAAATCTCGAAAAATCTGAACAAACAAAGACAAAAATTAGGAATCTTTTTTTTTTATTAGCCAATCAAAAAAGTTCCTGTGTGTTGAAAAGAGCCAGTTTCACCAAAATTTGAGTATAAGACATGTCTAGGAGCGGGTACAAGAAAAATTTTTCACGACTGTTTCGTCACTTTTTCGTTAATACACAACTATATTCAAGTATTGAACACAAAAAAAGATCAAATATAGATGTGATTCGAATGAATGGGATGTAACAAACCACGAAGGGAAAACTTTGCAGTCACTTTAAAAATCAGGAAAATTTTTTTTCGAAAATCTGATTCTGGCAAGTTGTAGACATTAGTGAGGCCTACGTTTTGCTTTTTTAATCAAGTAAATTGATGCAGTTTGAAGGCAGATGCATCACTTTGAAGTTTTCAGTGGAAAAAGTGGGCTTTTTTGAGGTTTTTGCAGGATAACGTGAGCAAGAAACCACTTTTCACAAATTCACACACACAAAAGTTTTTAAATTTCATGAGCTTTCTTTTGCGACTTCGAACGAGTAGATTGGATGAGTTTGAAGAGAGATATGGCGGTTTGAAGCACGCCGACTTGAGCCAAGATTACGACAGATCCGACTCTCACGGACTCACCGACGGCGGCAACATTCATTCTCACTCGACTATTGTTTAATTCGTAGTTTTACCCGTATGTGAACATTTCCTATCAAAAAATGTGAGGAACTGGTGGATTCTGACTAACTTGTCCACCAGAATACGTCGTGTTCACAACTTCGGAATTCACAGCTCGAGAATAAGAAAAACTTGCGATTATTCATTGCTCTTTGTTTCGATGAAGTGTAAACAACAGTTTACAGCTGAAATCAGTCAAAAAAAGTTTTTCCTCCTCCAACAGCACGCACCTGAAGTCAGCAGAAAACTGTCGCTCTTTCAGAAGACGTCTCCGTGGACACTCCAGAATATTTTTTCAAGTTTTTTGTTGCTGCTTCGAAGTACTGATCATATTCAACATATTCCCGTAGAAAGCGGGAAAAATGAATCAGTACTCTTCCGAGAGCACGCACCTGAAGTCAGCAGAAAACTGTCGCTCTTTCAGAAGCCGTCTCCGTGGACACTTCAGAATATTTTTTCAAGTTTTTTGTTGCTGCTTCGAAGTACTGATCATATTCAACATATTCCCGTAGAAAGCGGGAAAAATGAATCAGTACTCTTCCGAGAGCACGCATCTGAAGTCTCCGATGAAACTTCGTTGGCCACCAAAGTGTGAAATCGGTGCTCCCAATGTGGCTTACACGTTTAATTTCGTTAAGTTTTTGATGATGTGGTCATGAAAAACCCTCGGGCAACGTTTTCATCACGAAATAACGGAAGATGATTTTGATTCTCACTTGTAGCACGCATAATCAACCGCAACACGAAAAATGCAAATTTCGTACTGACGCCGGCATTTTTTTCAGAATTTTTTGTTGCTCTTTGCAAGTTTTGCTCATGATAAACACGTTCATGAAGAAAAACGGAAAGATAAATCAGTATTCTTCCGGCGGCGTTCCGAGCGCCACACCAACTCTCATTTCGCTTCTCGAGCGACAGTAGGCAAGCGAGAGAGTGCGAGACAAGGAGAATGCTGCCGGCGACGCAGAGAGCACGCGTAATTGCTTGCGCTTTTCTCGTGCAGGAGGCCGTGCGCGTTGCGTGCGGCATGGCCGTGGCCGAGATTTCTGCTTGTGTACTCCTCGAGGATAATCAGTTCTTTTGCGATTTATTGCCAATTTCAGCGAGTTTCAGTGCTTTTCCCGCAAAAACTTTAGAATGACAACGTCGGTGAAAGATGAAATTGTCGAAATGAGCGCAAATGACTTCTGGCAAGACATCAAAGACGATTATCTGCGGAAAATGGCGAACACGGATCCGAGCGACGTTTATCCGAGCAATAATCCAGGTTTTTCATATGAAAAGATTTCAAAATTTGTTATTATTCAGAATGATTCATTGTTGCTCTCCAGTTTGTTATAGCTGAATTCTGTGAAAAAGAAAAGATCCAAGTGATTTTTTGACAATTTCAGGCCCAGAGACAGCGGAGGGCGGCGTGAACTTCGAATGTCACTGCGTCGGACATCTCGTCGCCAGCCCGTGCGGATTCGAATTTCGCGAAGCGATCACGTGTCAGAAGGCGACGAGTGCGGACCAAATGGAACAGGTTCGGGGGAAAATTTGCAAAATTCATTCTAGAAAACTTGCAGGGAGCATGTGGAAAAGAGCTGATGGCATTCATGGAATGTGCAACTCGGACGCAGTGCTTCAAAGTCAACGACGAGAAACAATAACTATTGTTCATTATTTGAAGTTACTGTAACAAAAATTGAGTAATTCATTTTAACAACTTTGTTTTTCTCTATCTTTGGTTTAAAATCCAAACATTATTTTTGCACTGTTGTTTTGTTGCGAAATACTTTTGTTTGCCCTCATTGTTTCCCCCTTTATCCGGCCGCTCGAGAAAATCCTCGAGACGAACACCACTTCCCATTTTTCTTTTTTTCGATTCCCTCTCACAAATGTTCGGATGTTCCCTGAAGTGTCTTTCCGTTTCCACTCGAGAAAGTTCTTCGTCTTCTTGTCGAGAAGAAGCTGTCGAAGATTTTCTGCATTCACTTTAAATATGGTAATCAAGATCTTGTGCGACGTTGCCAAACTTCTCTCAGACCCGGTTCTCAGATTGCCTTCATTTATGGACAGTTTTGAACAAATTCTGAGGCTTGTCGAGAGTTTCAATGCATAATTGCGGACTTTGGGATTATCTTAGGTCAAGCCGACTTTTCGGGCATTTCCAAATTGAGAGGATTCGAAATGTGGCATTTAAATTTGCAAGAAATCTTTGAAGCCTTTTCTTGTTCAATTAAAACATTAAGGTAAAATTGAGAACAAATTCGTGCTCAGAAAGTGTCAAATAACTTCACCTTTTTCACTGAATGTGATTTCTGAATATTTGGGGTTACTATCTAGACAATGTTTTCTGTGCCACGCCCAGTTTAGGTTTTTTTAAAACAAAACCCTAACCTAACGGACATCTCGACAGGTGATATTTCAAACCTCAATTTACACAATTTCCAGTTTCCTCAGTGTTATCGTTTCCTTTATCATAACAGTCTTATCAGATCAAGTGTGTGTTTCTTCGTCTCCTTTGACCGTAACAGTACGCCGCTGTCTATATTAGCTAAATATCATTTATCAAACAAAAATATGACATATCTCACTCGCTCCCTCTCTTTATCTCTCTCTCTCTCTCTCTCTTTCCTCCTCGAAACGACAGTCGTTCTGAAGTAGGCTTCTCAGTGTTTGCGCCTCCGCACCCTCCCGCATATATCTAGAGAGAGAGGGAAAATGGAAGGAAGGAAGGAAGGGAGGGAGGGAGGAAGGGAGGACAGTAAGGAGAAAAACCAAGAACCTACTTGAAATTGTCTCTCCTTTTGCCTCCTCCCTTCTCTCGCTTCGCCCCCGAGTGAAAGCCCCCGAGATATCAGCCCTTCCACTTGATCGACGAGAAGTTTGTTAGTTAGGACGAAAAGTGCGTGACTCACCCTCGCTCGCCAGCACACGTATTTTGAGCTTTTCACAGTATTTTCCAATGGTTTTTGTCTCGTTCATTTTTGTTGCTCGTCTTGTGTGTAAACCAGGAATTTTGAGGTAGTTACACCAAAAACTCTTCCAAGATTGTGATGTGATGACAAATCAGCTTTTTTTAAACAATATCTGTTGCTTTGTTTACTCAGACCACTCCTCCACCCTTTTCGTGCTTCTCATTTCGCTTTTTTGAAAGAAATGTTGAAAAATAATGAATTAGTACTGAAGATTGAAGTCTACAAAAAGAGAATATCTTTAGATTTTTCGTAGAGATTCTGAAGATTCGGACTAGATAAATAAAAAGTTTGGAAAAGTTACACTAGACATCCGACTTGCAGAATTTTCGTGCCGTCCGAATTAGACAAAAGAGTCACGACTAGACAGTGACTAAACATCAGACTTCTAAAAGTTCCAGTCAGGTCGTAATGTAGCAAAAGTATATCCAAGAAAGCGAAAGTTCTCCAAAGTGCTTCGTATTCTGTCTGTTAGGTTAGGTATCAGTTGAGTCTGATGCACCATATGACCCACCGGATATTTATTACCTCTCTTCCGCAAGTCGATCCGCGCACTTGTGGTCACTTCTTCCTGTACCTCTGCGTCTCCCCTCCTAACCCTTATTCTCTTCGCCCCAATCGACCTTTCCTCGCTTTTTCTTTCTCCTCCTAAAAAAATGTTTCTGTATTTAGCTTCCTATTTTTACTATTTTACGTTTGCAGAGTATTTTTCCAAGACCACCCCATAGAAGATGGGAAAACATTTATTTGTTCGAAATGAGCGATTCGTTTTTAGAAAGGAAGAAGGAGCAGCAGGACGTTTAGTTGACAAAACGGCTTGTTTGAGTTTAGAGAACGATTTGTTGGGGACGCCCAACAAATCAGGAATCATAGTCCGCTTTTTCTGGGAAGAAGCTCGATTCTACCGTTCGTCTATAGTCACCAGCGAGTAGTTCGTTTCAATCGTCGCGCCGTCGATTCGTTTCGATTCATTTTTGCGCCCTCCAATTTAGTCTGCCTCAATCGGCGGTTGCATAATAATTATCGACGATCAAAACGACAGTACGGGCGCTTGTGGTACACGGTCACAGACGTTGTGGTCGTCATTCATCAGCAGAGGAAGAAGACGTCGGGGGGACATGGAGGGAGACCATGATGACAAGCGTGTCAAGGTGAACTCGCCCGTGTTTGCCTCGTTTTCGCGCGCGCACCTCCTCTGGACGCCAGCTACCTGCTTGTCCTTTTGCCTCCCGGTGCCCTCGACGTGCAATTGCCAACGATTTTATTAGCCGTCTCGCCCCTCACTTTGAGCTCAGAATCAAAAGGTTCCAAGAACTACACCAATACTTTTTGGAGAATACTTTCCCATCAGTTTTCATGTGTACCGGTTTGGTTCCTAGGTGAACTCGCCCGTGTTTGCCTCGTTTTCGCGCGCGCACCTCCTCTGGACGCCAGCTACCTGCTTGTCCTTTTGCCTCCCGGTGCCCTCGACGTTCGAGGTGTGTAGGCGTTCGGTAAAACGTTCGGATTGCCAAGCGTCTAGTAGCTGATGCTCGCATCTCTCATCTTTTCACATAATCGCTCGATTTACTTTTGTTTTCTTTTCAAACATCTGCCGCTGCTGCAGCTTCTTCCTTCCTCTTCTTCTCCTCTATCTCCATCCATTTCCAATTTTTTTTTGCCAAAAGGAACAAGTTTTTGTCTGTACTGCAACGCCCACGTTCATTCTGTTTTCCTCGTCACAAACGCATTCGATTCGCGACAGTTTCCAAAGCTCCAGTCTGCCACAACGAAATCAGCGCATAAAATAATGAAATGTGTATGTGTGTGTGTGTGTGTGTGCGAAAACCATAAAATTACGTACCTCATCTCTACAGATGAGAGGTGCGGAGCGTGCAATTGCCAACGATTTTATTAGCCGTCTCGCCCCTCACTTTGAGCTCAGAATCAAAAGGTTCCAAGAACTACACCAATACTTTTTGGAGAATACTTTCCCATCAGTTTTCATGTGTACCGGTTTGGTTCCTCCTAAGATGATGTGTTTTCAAAAATCAGAAGACTGCCCCCCTCCCCCAAAAGTTAGTTTTACCGCATTAGGAGACGCACTGTACACAATCTGACCAGACACAATCCGTCAATTTCCTCCAGGAAGAAGAAAAAATGGGATTCCGTCTCAGATAATTTGCAAGTATAATCACATGCTTCTTCCCCTCTTTTCCACACACATTCCATCCGTTTCGCTACATCTTTTCACCCATTTCGTCGATAAAAGTGGATACAGATGGTGGCCAGGAAGAACGATTTTCCACCTCTCCTGATTAGAGAGACAAGTTTATTCAGCTTTTTTGTTTTTGAAAAGGTATCTTTGAGGTCCAAAAAAACTTGCCATATTCGGACAGGAAATGTTTAAAATCGTCACGCTTCCCCTCAGGTAAGCGTTGCGAAAAATAGAAGTCTTGTTTCACAATTTTCTCTTTCCACCTTCTCTCTTTCTTCTCGCAAAATCATCATAAACTACAACTACAATCTCTCTCCCGTTTTTTCAGATAATAATAGTGTGCGTGAGACGGGCACACGACGCCAAAACGTCAAACGAAAGGAGAAGTGAGAAGAAGTGAAGGGGGAGTTGGGATGGACGAGCACCATCGACGGCTCCATGTCAAGGCGGAGCGAGCGTCGGTGATAGGTCCGGGAGTGCTGGGCGGAGTACGACACGGAGAAGCCGCTGCGAAGGAAGCTGCCGGCGGCGTCGACGAGGGATTCGGCAGTTGGGCTCTACGGGCGGCCCGCAGTGAGCACCAGTTGCAGCTGCACAGCCGGGACGATTTGGCACAGGTAGATTTTGCGAATTTTTCAGTCTTTGTCACTGTTCGAGCTCTAAAAACGTTCACTCACGCATTAATCTAGGTAGCCAAAAAACTCAAACATATAGGCCAATCAGTCAAGTAAAAAAACTATATTATTCTGGTATTTTCACTGATGGTTCCGCCCGAAAACCGTCACACTAAGCCCAATCCGCTTTGCTCTTTAGCCAACAAAGCGTCAAGCCTTTTATTCAGTTCATCTCCAAACCTAAGCTGTCGGCTTGCATTAGAAAGCACGCGAAAGCCCATTTGGAGCTCTCGCTCTTTGTGTGTGTGTGTGCTCCAGAAGCCACCGCCAGATTGATGAGCTCTTTCCTTTCATTCCAGAGAACGAAGGGTTTAGCGCCCTCCCTTCCTTTTCTGTGTCCTTTTCAATGTTTTTGATGGCTGACTACGGTAGAGAAAGCTTCTTGCAGAATGCTCGAATCTCGGCGTTGCTCGGCGAAATGCGGCCGAGGATGTCGGCGAGTGCGGCGATGCCGGGCGGCCACGGACAGCGGAAGGCGCACACCACCAATATTGTCGATGTGTCACAGATTGCAGGTAATTTTGCGATTCTCACGAAGTCTACACTTTTTGTGCATCAGGGCTGGGCAATTGGCCGGCCTTGACTTGCCATCATACTTTGCAGGCTTTTCGGACTGAAGTTGGATTGAAGTTCAAGTTTCGGACCGAGATCAAGAACCGATTCCGATCGGTCTGAAACTTGGATCCAAAATTGAAAAAATTGATACCTACAAATTTTCTCGTAGAGTTTTCAGCCAGAAACGCAATATACGGTTCGTGGCAAGAGCGCCGGCCACGCCTTTACGGCAGTCAACAAGTTTCGGCCACCCTGCCCAAATATGAACAATTGTACTGTAACACCGGCTCGCTGCTGGCCAACGGAACCGGATCGACGAACACGTTGGCGACGACCGGAATACGCAGAGAGCCGCCCGAGTACGGGTACGTTTGAAAATTTCCATGGCGACGCGCGCTCCCCGGAGACGATTCACGAGATTGGGCTGCCTCTTTTCTTTTTTGTATCTTAAAGCTCGCTCACAACAAAATCGCGTTTATTTTTCCGTTTCTTCTCACGCAGCGCTTTACGATTTTTTCACATTCGCAGCCAGGATTCAAAGCTACGGATCTCTGAAACTTGAGAAAAACATAGTTTTGGCTAATGGGGTTATTCAGGCTGTGAAAAAAATGATTTTCTTTCCGTTTTTTTTTCGTTTTTTTTACGTCAAAAAACCCAATTCAGCGGTGTAAAAAAACAAAAAACGGAAAACAAACATTCGCTGAATAGCCCCATAATTTTTCCGTCCGGGTAATCGGCATTCCAAATTTTTTTTGCGAATCCTCCCACTCCTACTCGCCTGTCCTGCCGGCGATCAACTCAAAACACCTATGCGTGAAAGAAGGTTTATTCGAGAAAATGTTCAGAATTCCCTTGGTCATGTTCCCAGACCTCAATTTTACTGTAGATTCAATTTTTCGTTCAGAAAAGTCAACCGATCCGTATCATCATGGCAAATGACCAATTCGGAGCAGCGCCCGTCGCAAGCGGGATGGCTCAAAAATTCGCGGCCACTGGCGCGTGGAGCACTCTCGCCCGCCGCCTACTTCTTGGAGTTGGAGCATCGGAACGGTGCCAGCTCGCCAATCGTCGGCGGACTTTCCGTCGTGGCGGTGTCGACGACGGCGACGGCGAAGGGAAAGGAAGAGCCGAGCGGTGCGGAAAACCAGCAGCTCACTCGGAACACTCCACGACAGGCGAGTTTCATGGCGGCCGTGCAGAGGTATCCGCTGAAAGAGAGCAATTCCATCGAGAGCAACGGTTGCGGAGCGGAAGTTGAACAGGAAAATGGGGAAGTGGAAGAAGAAGCCAAGGATCATCAGCAAGAAGTTGTAGTGGAAGATTCAGAAGCGGATGCAGAAGCTGAGCAGATTCGAGAAACGCCGATTCGCAGACCGGGAAGGAGTAGACAGTCTAGGTAAACGATCGAAAAGACCTCAAAAACCACTCGTTTTTTCTCTTTTTTCAGTCGGAGTATGGGTCGGCTGGATTTCGACAAACTGCGCATCGGCACCGCCCGCATTTCTGACTCGACACCTTCCGGAGCCGAGAAAGAAGGTGAGAGAGCGCGACTGTTTGCATTTCAATTTTCGCGCCTTTTCCCTTTCGCCTCCCTTTGCCCCCATTTCTGTTTCGTATTCCGATCCTCCTTTCATTTTCGACCATGTGGTCATTTAACATACGGCCTGCGCACCTTCTCCTTCCTTTCTTTTCAATGAAATTGTTGCGGCGCCGCCGAATTGGCCGTTTTTCAAACCGTCTCACGGTTTCGACATACCCCTTTTCGATTGAAAAATGGTTCATTTTGGTTAGAAATTTCCCCTGAAATCGTTATTGGAACTTCCCACACTCTGACCTGAACATTAGATTGGGTTCTTTACCGATTTCTTTGAAACCCATTACATAGCTGTACTCGTTCTAATCTCTTCTACACTCGAGTTTACTGAATAGTTGCCGTTTCGGAAGAATTCCAAACTTGTGCTTTGTCTTTGCTTCGGACCTCTGAGGCTCGAGAAAACGTGCCAATACAAGTCTGAAAAGAATCATCCCCCGACAAGATTTTTTTCCCTCTTGTTGGCAAAATGTTCACTCTAATTGTGTAGTGGGGTGGTTCCTCAACAAAAAGTTGTCTCTCTCTCTCTCTCGGCTTCATAATTAGATTTAGAACTTCTTAGGCCGTACACTTCCGTCTCCCAACTTCTTGTTTTCCAGACAATTCTGTCCACTGTTAGTGTTTCTATTCGATTTCCGACCGCCACCTTTTCGAATTGCTTTCTTTTGCCCCCTTTCAACCGCCACGCCAAACAACAAACATACCCCCCAAAAAATGGCAGTGCAATACATACATATATCTTTCTGTTTATGTGTCCTTTGCGGGTTAGACGACCTTTTTTATGAGTCAGTCTCTTTTTCTCACTTTGTTCGTCTTACGAAAGGTGACATTTATTCCGTCGAGCTCAATTGCACAAAAAGCAATAGCCACAGCGAATTGCGAATCATCCGAATGTCAAATAAAACATTGACACTTTGGGCGGCCGCCGTTGCGAGCCAATGATAGGCGAGAGCGTTGGCGGCGGCGGCCGGGATCGACTGAGCACAATCACAAACACGAGCTCTGAACGGGGACGCCGCAAAAAAAACACACACAAGAGATTGAGACGTTGATCTATGGAACTTTTAAATGTCTAGGATTGGTATCATAACAGTCTAAAAGTCTAAGAACATTCAGTTTCAGATGCGATTTTCTCGAATTCCAGATTCGTTGTGCAATAATGATCAACACGTTCAGAGTTTGTCTCTAAAGCTGAAAAGAATGTGTATTAACATTTTTACGTGTACCCAGACAGAGTTTTGAGAAAAGAGAAAGTCTATGTTCTTGAGACCTCTAGAAGCCCCCAATTTGACCGAACTTACCGCGTAATTTGCATCTGGAACGTGAAATTAGTTGTCACATGATAAATCTGTTGAAAATTGGGCGCAAACCCCCGATTTTGGTGATAGTTTTCAAACAGCCGTAGCCGATTGGAAAACGATGGAAAAGTGAAGCGTTCTCATGCATTATGTGCTTTTTTGCGTTCGCCGCATCGCTATGATAGTTACGACTCTTCCGTTCCTCTTTCTCTCTCTCCCTCTCGCAACCATCTCGTCGTTTCGATTCCACCCCGCCAAAGCCACGTTCCATTCGTTCGCTTTCATTAACTCTCTCCCTCTCACATACACAAACAGTTTTGTGATTGTGTTTAAAAAAAGAAGGACAGCAGCAGTGGCAGTGCTCCCACCCTGTGAGGCTCTATTTGCTTATCACAAAACATCATCGTTTTCCTTTCTTCCTTCCCCTTCTTCTTCTTCTTCTTTTTTTGCCTATTCTCTAACTGTCTGTGCTCGTGCGGCCAACCTACACACCTGTATTATTGATGTGTTACCACCGCTGCCACTTTCGACATCAATAAGAATAAAAAAGAAAGATGCTCATGACTGCCGACTATTATCCGCTACTCTATCACTATTGTCAACTGCAGTTTTTGGAGAAACGGCGACGGAGGAGAGGTAGGTATTTGCTGGCGGAATTATGCATTCTTGAGAGACGGAGGGAGATGAGATGAAATGAAAACTTTAGTGCTTCGTTTTATGACCGACTCCATTCTGCTCTGAACATGTCGTACTTTTCTTCCAGTGAAGAATGTTCACGTTAGAAAATTGAGAAGCCTCATTGTTTTAAACCCAAACATACTTTCACCTTCTTCAGCTTCAAAAGTCCGTAGCAGAATTCGAGCAAAGTCAGAAGATGCTTCCAATTTTTGACGGAAATGTGTTTAGAAGCATCTAGCCTATTGTACAAAAGCTAAGCATGTTGAACTCTTGATTCCCGGTGACCCTCGAACAAATTTTGAAAATCCATTGGCAAGCAATTAGTCGGGGGCAGGGGAGCCGGCTCCCATCACCACACATTAACCTTCCCGCCGCCGCCGCCACCGCCCAGATGACCATATGCTGAGTGCATTTCCTGTGAGAGCACCGACTCTCTCTTTCACTTTTCTCTCTTTCTCTCCCTTCAGTAAAGCGCCCGCCCGCTATCTCTTTGCCGAAAAAGTTCGACACAGTACTTGATATTAAAAACGAAGCGAAATCATCAGTGATCATCAAATCGTTTTTAGCTGTTCCTTGCCCTCGCTCTCTCTCTCCGCAAAAAAAAATAATAAGAAGACAGAAGGAGAGAAAGAAGAGGCGGCGGTACTTGAAAATGAGAAAATGAGCACTGCAAAGTTTGCTGATAAACTCTCTCTCTCTCTCTCTTTCTCTCTTTCGCCTCCTTCCCCCAATTCCTTTTCTTTCATCTTTTTTACCTGTGCCGATCGGATGCCAGTCTAGAATCCTTGCTTTTTAAAGCCTTTGTTTTTTAGTTTAGATCAATGAAAATGATAAGAAAAGAAGGATGCTCTCTGGAGAAGATAAATGAGTTAAAAAGCCTCCACGCCGGCCAAAAAAATGACAGTTGGTCGGCTCCCCCCGGGGCTCCCCGCTCACATCAGGCCCGGCTCATCATCATCATCACCAGCCGACAACAAAGTTGCCGAAAACACAATCTTCTGCTCTTTTTCTCTCCCTTCCGCACAGAATATTTTTCGTCGTCGTCGTGCCGATTTTGTCATTAATCAACTCTCGTTTTTTTTTCTGAAATTTTGCTCAGATTTCTGAAAGATATTGCCACGTCATTCCGTGCTCCCTAGAGACTAGTACGTGGCCGGAATACATGCATTCTAGATCGCAATCTTCACCGCTTCTTTAGGACCTTCATGACATTCTGACACGTTTTATCGCCGTCATTTGTGTGGAGAGCCGAGTGGAGCCGCTGCTTCAGTGAGCTCACGTCACGGCTCTAGTAGTAAGATATTGGTTTTTTGAGGTGCGAAATGTCAGTTTTCAAATTTTACTAGAAAAAACACATTTGGTGGTTTCGTGTTTCATGTTTCGAATTGAAATTCCGTATGATAATTTTTGTTGGAATCGGATCGATCGATAGCGATAGCGCTAACAATAATAATCACCACACACATTTCGGCGCCCATCATCATCGACAACATTTCGTTTGACCACGTTATTATATATGAATAATTCAAAAGAACAAATTCGTCGTGGTGCCTTCCAACGCGATCGGAGCGCCGGCAACGGGGGAATTATGAATTATCCGCCCCTCCTCTCGCTCGCTTTTTCCACTCTTCTCTCTTTTTTTTGCCACCACCACCACCAGCAGCAGTGCCACACTTTTTGCGTCCGTGACTAAAAAATACTCGTCGTCGTCGTTGTCGTCTTCGTCCACTTCTTCTGAATATTGTCCGCGAATTCTGGGCAAGAATGGATACTATGCGAAGGATCAGTAGCATTGTGTCGCTTATTATGAAACCAGGTCATCTTTACAACTTCTAGACCGCCTTTTTTGAGAACTTTTGTATTTCAACCAATAATCGAATTTGCAGGCGCCGCAAACACCTCGTCTCGCAAAAACTCGCAAGTTCCCGTCGAACTTCCGCTGGCCTCCGCTTCTGGAGCATCCTCCTCATCGATTGCGACGACTTCGGAAGCACCTAGAAGAGAGACGTCGTCGAATTCGTCGGTGGACTCGAATCATAATGGTGGGTGTGTGTTGTTTGTATTTGGGCGGAAGAGGAAAGAGACGAAGAAGACCACTTGAGAAAAGGACACGACGTATTCATTAGTTCCCCATCGGAAGTGGAGGATGCGTGGGTCTTGACACCGATTCATGATGATGCAGCATTCTTTCAAGGACATAGTCGCTCTACGAGCTGTTTTTTTGTTTAGGATTCGTTGCTTTTTTGTTAATATCCCAATTCTTCCGATGTAGGCAAACTTTACTGCTGAATTAGTTAAGGGGAAAATTTCAAATTCCGACCCGATCCGAACCCTTCATGAATCCCAGCTGACGTCTTCTTTCGCCGCGTCAACTCGAATTAGACAAATGAACTTTGCTAAGACGGCTCAGCGCCTTCTTAGCTCTTCCGTTCGAAGCGGCGGCCAAAATTCCGAAGGCTTTCACAAACTTATTCCATAGCGAAATGAGTGAGCAAGTGACATTTCCATTTGTCCTCCTCCATACATATTCGAAATGGAGTGGTTGAGTGTCATCATCATATGTTATGCTTGGATTCCTCTCCTTCCTCCCTCGGCACACCCACTCGACTCATCATCATCCACACACACACACGAGTTCGTCCGTCCTTTTGGAAGCAAATTGGCGTGGTGTGGGGCACAACCGAATAAACAATGTGTTGTGCTCGTCTAATAGAAAATAAGAAACGAGAAGGCGCTAGAAGGGAGGAAAAGGTCGATTTATTCCTCGAAACTACTAGGCGAACCGGTTCTCCACACTGAAGAACATCAGGCGCTTATTCCATAATGGATGTGCGAAAAGGACAAATTGACCTACTAGTCGCTAGGACTGACTAACTGTCTTTTGTTCACTTCCACTTTATTCGGAAGTTCATGAGATTCTGATTCTTCAAGTACTTAGTATTAGTTTGTCTAACATTTGGTCTACTTGGAAATGAGCAGTGTACAAGTCGAAACCAGATTACGAAATAGTCTAAAGATTTTCGGATCTGATTTGATGCGTCATCAAGATATTCAGTCTCAGTCAGCAACGACGACGAGGAGTAGGATAATTAGAAAACTGACAAGTTTCTTCCGAGAATTCTATGCGTGCGCCATCGTTGTCGTCGTCGTCGTTTTTGTCTATTTCTGATTCTCGCCTGGACACCCCCTCCTTCCTTCCTTCCGTCCACCTCCTCCGCCTCCTCCTCTTTAGCCAAACGATGCTAATTTGCGAGCTTTGAAGCTTTGAAGAGCGTGGTTTCAATCCATTTTTGATCGCCAATACCACGGTCATGGTCAGTCATTTCATTTCTTCACGCTCTGATCATCATCATTATCATCTTCTTGACACCGAACAAAGGTATTCCATCTTTGTCCTTCCGTCTTCTGCGCGGCTTCCCGCAAAGACAGTGTCTAAAGGTGATTAGCCACCACCACCAACACCGAGAGAGGAAGAGAGAAAGAGGAAAGGTTAATTGCTGTAGCTACCCGGATGCTGCTGCTGCTGTTGCCTTGGCCTTGCCGACCACTGCCACCTTCTTCTTCTTCTTCTTCGTCTCCCGCTCCCGCTCCCGACGACGATGATCATCAAGAAGAAAGAAGGAGACGTAGGAGATGAGGAGGAGGAGGAGGAGAAGGAGAAGAAGAAGAAGACGACACTAAGACACTTGTCGTGTACGTTTTGATGTGTTCGCTCTCGCGCCAACGACGACCATTCGGCGCAGCCGCAGCAGCATCCGTCCACAGCGGTTTTGTCGGTTTGTGGCAATGTTCTTTGTGACTGTCCCTCAGTTTTTGATGTTCAACTGATACGCATAGAAGATGTAGGCCTAATTTCTGTTAGAAGCTCAAGTAGAAAAGCTATGTATGGTTCAACTTTTCAAGTTTTCTCCATTTGGTAGTGACGCCAGATCTGTGGTTATATATTTTCCAGAAAAATCACTCTGACATCAACCAGAAATCTGGCGTCACCACCAAATGTTTGCGTGGAATTTACCAGTTCATAGCTCATTTTCTCATTTTCGGATCCTCTTCTTCTCGCTGCTCCAGGTTGTACCACACAAACTCGTGCGTAAACACTAGAATTTACGTCATTCGCCGACGCCGACGCCGACGCCGCCAGTCGCCCCAACCCACGTAGACGGCGTCCGATGATGACTTTATTTTCCTGGTCCGTCGTCTTACAACGTGTCTTATTCGAAAGAATCGAGCGTCACACACGTCATCTTCCCCCCAAACACCTTGCGTGACTTTTGACGTTTCAGAAGATCCATGTTGCTTCTGGCTCGCGCCCCGGAACAAAATGGAAAGAGTGGGCGGAGCACACACACAAGAAAATGGTGTCAAACATTTTTCGCGTGGATGTTTGACACACTATCACTCATTTTGACTTGACAAGTCCCGCCGTTTTCTTTTTGTGGGAGCCAGCTCTCTAGAAAGTTTAGTGTTTCGGCAAAAAAAATGTTATGAATTTTTTAAGACTTTGTATAGCTCACTCTTTCGAGCATGGCGTGCTTTACTTTTCGCGAAAAGACATAATAGCCCGTTTCCCGCCCGTCCGTTTCTTCAAAGGTGGTCTCTCTCTCTCTCGTGTGGGGACCACTCTTCCTGCAGAAAGCACCTATTCATGACACCTTTTCATTCATGAATGAGCTTTTGACTAGAGCTCTCTCTCTCTCTCCTCGGGTTTCCCTGTCCTTTCTGAGAGCGCTTTCCAAAAGCTCGGAACATTTTTGAGCATACTCTCCCTCTTTGCCATTTATGGAGATCGGGTTTCGATTGACTCTGCTCTACCACTTCCTCTTGCTCCACATGGAAATATCTATTTGTATTCTGAAGAGCTCTTGTTTCAGCAACAATTGTGCTCTTTGCAGCAATTTCGACGCGTTTTCCTCGCGAGCGAAGGCAGTGTAAAGCCTATTAGACCGTACGGTAATTTGAATAAGACATTTTAATAATTATTGTTTTCGTCCTCTCACCCCTCCGCGCAAACAATTTCGCACACAATTATAATAAAGCTCAGCACGCGCGGGACAGGTGTTTCACCTGTCCGTGCTCTCGCATGAGCTGTGCCTTTGACCCTCCATTCCCATTCCATTCGCTTCTTTAAAGGGTCTTCCCTAGTCAGTGTTTACCGTCATCACCTGTCTTTGACGGTCTGCCGCCTCTCGCACCGCTTCACTCTCTTTCCCTCTTTGCCATGCAAAGAAGACACGGCGGTCAGAGGTCATCACCCAACCTAACCCGGTTAGACCGGGCAGTGATATTTTATTGTGCCATCAATACGCGGTTTGTCCTTTTTGAGGTATTAATGGCACTTGTGGCTCAGAAAAATTATCTGGAAGAGCTCTAAGATTCTCTTGTTCTAGTTGATCCTTTTTTCTGATCTTAAATGCGATTTCAACAGTATACACCTAAGCTTAAGAAGTTCTGAATAATCTTTGTCTTTGAATGAGTCGTTTGATGCCGTCAGATTGTTAAGGTCATTTGCGTAGTTCAGTTCACCTTTAAAAGAACAGAAAATCACTTTAGTCTAAACTGTGATTTTTCTCCAAACATTTCACTAAGTAACCAGACTTGCTATTCTTAATCTACCGACTCAAAAGATTTTTTCCTACTTGTAATCGTGAAAGTGAATGGAAACGCGAACTTCCGGACTTTTTTCAAACCATGGCAATTGGTGATTGAGCACCAATCAGATTTCTCATGGCAATCCATCATGACGCCTTTAGGGACTTGAATACCCTCCCATCTTGCTCAATAGTATGAATTTGCATACAATTAATTTCTCCCTCCTCTCTTTCCCTTCCTTCTTAGACCCCTTTTCGATTCCCTCTCCTAACTAATAAGCCTAGATTGAAACGAACAACCAAATTTGCCAGTAAAGCATAATGATTGTTTTTCGTTGCGCTAAAGCCAGTGTACAGTACCCGGTTGTTTGCCATCTTCTTCTTCTTCTTCCTCCCCCTTTTCCTCTAATCGAATTGTCTAGGGCCCCACCGTGTCGTCGTTGCCATTTCAATCTCAACCACAGCAGCATGTTGTTCATTCCTATCATTTATTTGTCCAATTTCCAGAAGCAATGAAGATGATACGCCGTGCGCGACCCAAATCATACGTGCTGGCGACGTCGGCGTCGATGCACGACGAGGTGCTTTCGTCGATTGGCAACGAGCGTAAGTTTCCCGTATCGCCCTCCTACCTATTCTTTTGTCTTTTCAGCCTCCTCGTCAATCTCGCACGATACGACGACGTCAGGCCGCGAGTTGCCCTCCTCGCTGATGGGATCCGCCACGTCCATCGAGCTCCGCGGCGCTGGATCGGCGTCCAACGCCTCGACGACGACCACTTCGGGACAGCAGACGTCGCGGAGCCTGAACGCTCCGCACCCGCCCGCGACGCATCGTCTTCAACGATTCATTGCTCTCTTCAATTCTAATGTGAGATTTCTGGGGAATGATGGTGTGTGCAAAGTTATTGTAAACAAAATCTCATAGTTGACAAGATCTTTCCGGATTTTTAGTAAACGATTGCCAAGCAAATTTCGATGAAAAATGAGTCGAGAAAGTTTTGAGTGAAAAGCGTTTACTGCTCATCCGTTTCTCGGAAGTTCTAGGTCACAAAGCCTAAAATTATTCAGTTTTTCTTAAAAAGTTCGAGAAGTATGTCACTTTTTAGATAAATATTGCAAACGTTCGAGTTGCTCGTACTTTTTGGCTTCGGAATGCGCAAAAGTGAAAAGTCGGTGCATATAATATTGAGTGAATGAGCGCAACTTTTCGCACATTGCTTCTGGAACTTTTGACTTTTGGAAAAATTCTGGAACTTAAGCTTTAAAAAATCTTCTTCTCGTTTCAGAAATCATCAGACGGTGTGGAGCCGAAAAAGTCGCGAATGAAGCGGTCGCGAACGTCGCTGCCCGCGAGCCGCGTCTCCCTGCCCGGAACGATGCTCCAAAGGGAGGCGGTCGATCGGCAGACGTGGGTCAAACATCAGGAGATCGCGCTGGGCAAATCGGGAAAACGCAATCACTGGGAGGACCGATGGGCGGTCCTCTGCAGGCGGACCCTCTATTTGTGTGTCGAATCGCCGTCGTTCACTTCTGAAAAGGTACGCTTTCTATTTTTCCCGAAACTTTTCACAAACATGAAAATTTTCACTTTTTAGACAATCGAGCTGAGCGCTCACACCCGCGTGGACGTGTGCAATGCGATCGTGGACATTGCCTACGACTGGCTTTCGTCGACCTTCTCGAAACAACGCCACGTCGTTCGAATAGTCACGCAGAACCGTTCGGAGCACCTGATCGAGCTGAACACCGAGTCGGAGATGCTGTCCTGGATCTCGGTGCTTCAGTCGAGTTCGGAAGACGCCAGTGGTGGTGGCGGAGGCGTCAACGACGTGGACGGCGGCGCATCGGAGAACAATAATATCAATCGAGGCGCCACGAACAGCCAGTTCCTTCACAACTCTCAATCGGTAAGTATTCAAGAGCCGTGCGTCAGAATCAGAATTTTCCAATTGACGTCATGATGTGACACGGACATTATTGTATTATTCTGATGTAAGCGAGCTTTGTTTGCCCCTCAAAACTTGCCCCCGGCTCGCCATTCCATTCCATTAATTCATTCCTTGGATTTCTCTGTTTTCCTTACTGACTCTTCTTCTTCGTCTTCTTCGTCTTCTCACTCGCTCGCCAGCTCCCTTCTAGCCAAGCCAGTAGTAATCGAATAAGAGGAAGAGGAAGATTTATTAGATTCATGGAAATTCGAGGAGAAGTCAACGCTTTCTTTTTCGCCGTCCGTCCGTCTGTCGTGTAATGTCTACCGCACGACCATCTGCTCGAATTTTGCGCGTTCTCGATACACTTGACTAGGTTTTTCAATGAGAAGCTTCTGGTGCGGAAATGTGCGCGGACGAGGACGACACTCGGTTTGTTAGGTTTTGGAAAATCGAAAAAGAAACTAACAGCCGTTCGTAAGTATCCGCTGCTTGTCACCACTCGGATTGCTGTTGTTTTTGCTCCAGTTGTGTGTGTGCTCATTCATTTATTGTTCCGACTACCAACTGTTCTTCTCTCATTCATTTTCCATCCTGCACCAAAGATTCGGCTCCCTGGAACCATAGTTTCAGCTCGAAAAGAGCCCGCTCACTTTTCTTGCTACCGGAAATGAGGAGCAGCGTCGGCGGCGGCGGTGAGCATCAACAGAAAGCGAGCAGCTCTGCTGGAGCTGGTATATGAAAACGGATTAAGTTAGTCTCGTAGTGTGGACACGTCTTCTTCTTCTTCTTCTTCCCCTACTCTTCTCAATGACGTCCTCTCCGCTTCTTCTTCTTCTCATCCCGAGCTCAGAGGTTTCGGGAGGAGCGCCTCCCACTGAGACGCAGACCTTTAGGAGAAGCTCACTCTCGTCCTGCTTTTCTTTTCCTTCCTTTCCACCCCGACGACGACGACAACGACTGTGTTTCTTTTTAATTAATGCTCGCTTTGCTCCTCTCTCTATCGCTCTCTTTCTCTCACTTTCATCTTTTGAAGGAGAACCACACTAGTAGGAGCAGTAGTAATGGAAAAGGAAATTCTCTTCACTTATTCCTCTTCTTTTGGCTAGTCTCGACGGATTTTCAGTAGAAACCTTCAATTGGGGATACCAACCTTGTTCTCCAACAACCCTGCAGAAAACCTCACTTGAAACCCTTAAATTTTTGAGCCTTAAAGTTTAAAAAAAAACGGAAAAGTTGGTATATTGGAGCATGATCAAAATAGTTCGGTTCAAACGAGGTTTTCTGTACAGTTCTCGGGGTCCTTCGAAAGAATTTACCAATTCCGCTGAAATGGTTTAGCATCAAGCTTGAAGTTTCGAGCTTGAATACTGTAGAATAGTACGAAAATTGGGAACTTCAAAGCGTATCACATTTTTTCTCAAATCGCCTGAAAGCAGGTGCAAAGTGCTCCCCTCACCCTCCCATCGTGAATTTCTGATTTCCTGTGCCCTAACCCCGGGGTTTATCGGCTTTAGGCGCGTATCCGCTCTAATCAAAACGCTATTGAGCATCAGTAGTAGTGGCTTTGGCTCTGGGCGCTCCAAAGAACACACCAATTGATTGAGGCGAAATCTCGACGACGGCGGCAAAAAGGTATCAATTTACAAGTGAATGTCGGAAACACGGGGTGGGTGAGGGGAGAAAAATCTCGTTTTTCCGTTCTGTTTGCTTCCTCTGCTGCTTTTCTTTCTGCGCCCCTCTTTGATCCTCCATTTCGTGTCGAATAGTTTGGATTATTAGTCAAAAGTTTTGGAGCAGCAATCTGATATGACCTCCTTATTATTATTCATTAGAGTCAAAGAGTCAAAAGGTCTCATCTCAAGTTACTGCTGAATAATTGGACAGTTTTTCTTCCACAACACACACTTCATTTTCTCCTTCTCCTCCTTCTCGCTTGCTTTCTTTTTCAACTAAAAAACGAAAGAAGAAGGAGAAAAAGACGAAGAAGAAGAAGGCCCGAGGTTATTTGTTCCATTCGGCGTTGCTCGGGCAGAGGAGGCCCGAGCCCTTCTTTAGGCAAAAGACCTCTCGTCGCTCCCGCTCTCTCCCTCTATCTCTCTCTCTCTCTCTCTCTCTCTCTCTCTCTCTTTTTCTTTTTCGGAAAAAGCAATAGAGCAACAAGGAGAAAGAAGCAAACAGGGGTCGCCGCCACCCTCCGCGTTGTCGCGTTGGCAAGCGAGCTTGACACGAACATTTAGGCTTTTGTCATCCGATGATGATGCTCCGAACCAATTCTATCCGCTGGGCTCAGGGTCGAATTAAAGTTTGCCAAAAGCTTATTATCAGCTTCGTGCTCCAAGCAGCTCTTGGCTCGGGCCCCAAGTCTTGAGCTCTCCTTCTTCTTCTTCTTCTTCGTCCTCTTCCTTTCCTCGATCGTGTCGTCGTCGTCGTCGTTTATCCGGCTCTAATTCTGTTTACATGTAGGCGGGCGTGTCGTCCGTCGTCGTCGTCGTCGCGGGGCAGCAAAAAAGGCGAAGAAGAAGAAGAAGGCAATTCCTTCTTCTCTTTCTCTTTTCACTGCTCCTCACTCACACACAGACACACAGCTCGTCCGCCTTTCCGCTTCGTGCCCCACTTTGTCGTCGTCTTCTGCGCTACTGCTCCACACATCTTCTCTTTTTTCCGTCCCTTTTTCTTCTCTATTCATCATCCGTGTGCCGCCGCACCTCCGGATAGAGGGACGAGAGAGAAAAAAGAGGGGGGATCATCATCGACGTGGAAAAATGAGTGAGCGCGGAGAAGAAGCCACTTTGGACCTTTTGGCGTTTGTGTCGGAGACAGAATCGTTTGGCCGAATTGGGTCAAAGTTGATGGATTCGGGTCGGAACTCGGCTCAAAGCACCCAATTAGATCGACCTAGCTAGCGCCAAGGCTCTAATTATCTGGAGCTTTTCTAATCAACCAGTTCTCAGGCTTACACATTCCCATTTTCTTCGGAAAATTTAATTACCTCTCCATTTCGCTGCGCGTTCTGTTCTTCGTCCGTTCGCTCGCTCCTTCTCACGTATTCCATTAGTGGTTGTGTGTGTGTCACACACACACCCTATAGGCAGAATGTGCCTCCCTCACTAGGGCCGATGAGCAATGAAGCGTGTCCAAGGTAACATACTCTCTCTCTCTCCTTGTCTCTTTCTCTCTGTGCGAAACTAGCCAACCATTCGCCTATTTACCTGCTTCGTCCTTTTCTTTCAAAAGGTTACCATGGCTTTTCACGTAGTAGCTAATTTAAGATTTTGAGACGCTTCACAATCGGCGATCTTTTGAAATGTCCATAGTTTCCGCCTATTTACAGTAATTTTAGGTCCTGCGGTAACCTACATTGCTTTAAAGATCAGGTGGACCTCTGAAACTGGAGAAAACCTCGACTAAGTTTCTGCGAGTTCATTTTTCCAAAAAATTACTTTCCGAACCGTACAAATCATGTCTCCTCCGATTTTCTCCTTCTACTTTTTCGAAAAACGAATCGCAACTAATTTGGTGCCCCCTTTCCCTCTCGCTGAGCATTTTCGTCGATGAGAAAAAAGAGAATATATTTTCGACGCAAATCGAGTTATTCCTAGTTTTCAGTGTCGTTTTTTTTTTTGCTCCACCTTCCTTCCCACACAGAGTGAGTATGTAAACAGGAGACCTCCGAAGCAAAAGAAAAAATAATGTTTCCCTCTCTCTCTTCCTCTGTCTGTCTCTCTCTTTTCTACAACAAAAAGAGAGAGAGAGAGAAAGAAAAAGCGGGAAAAGGATAATAATAGGGGGCATTGTGAGTAACGGAAGCACACCTTTCGCCCCGCTCCTCACCCCCCGATTCGTCCCTCTCTTTTCCCCGTACACACACAAATTTCATACTTTCCATCCTTTTGACAATTGTCAAGGACACTGTGTAATTATAGTTCAACCTACCGGAAATTTTGCAATTACCTTGTACATCTCATCATCATCATTGCATGACAAATGAGCGAAACGGTACAATATTATTATTGCAGATCGCATCGTTGGCGTCATCCTCATGCTCGACGACGACGTCTGAACTGGTTACTTCTTCCAATCATCATCATCTTGCGCATCCCTCACATCCTTCACCTCCACATCATCCACATCCACATCATCAACAGACACAACAACATCAGACAGTTAGCAGTACGGTTAATGAATTAAGCGCTGGAGTTTCTTCATGTGAGTACCCGGCATTTGGTCGAGAAGAACAACATATATCACTGAAAAAAAAACATTTTTACTCAAAACACCTATTTGTGTTTCTTTTCACTTTTGTATTACAAACCCCCAGAAAATGCTTCGAATATGAAGCTCTAGGTGAACTTGTATAGTTCCTGAACAAATTTTGCGATAAGAATAGTTGTTCTTCTTCTGAAAACCAGTTTTTTGCAGATTTGCCGACGTCGAAAAGTTTTGGAGGGTTGTCCACGGCAACGTCGTCGACGACGGAAAGCGCAAAGAATCGACTGATTATGCATCGGTGAGTTCGCTTTTTCGAGAAAAAAACCTTGAAAAGCGTCAGCAAGCTTGAATATGTTATTATTGTTGGAAAGAGTCACACTCTCTCCACTTTTTTTGCAGTTTTAGCCCCTGAAATGGAATTTTCTTTGTCTTTCTCTCTCTCTCTCTCTCTCTCTCTCTCTCTCTCTCTCTCTCTCGCTCTCTGCCGAACTCACTTTGCTCGGCGCCGATATATATTTTCGCGACGGGTGCCCCTTTTTCAGAGCGGCGGTGAATCCATTTGTTCGCCCGCCGCTGCAAAATAGTAGTAGTGGGCTCGAAAAATTTCAGAATTTTTGCTCACGCTTCGTCGATCTTCTGTGCCGATTCTAGCTCGAAAAACACGCGAGTTTTTGCACATTTTTCTGTCAAAAACTGAACAGACGGTCAACTTTTTATGAACATTCATTCAATCCTATCAGATCCGACATATTAATATTTTGCGGCAGCCATTTTTTCGACCGGGCCAAAATGATGAAAAGCGACGAAACAGCACTTTAATCTCTCCCTCTCTCTCTCATTTCCTGCTTTCCGCACATACACAAGCACACATTTCATGCTCCGCAGAGCCCATCCGCCACATCATCTTTCTATGAATTTGTGTCTGAATATACGACGCCTCGTTTTTTTTTCCGGCCGGTCACACTTTATCATCAGCATCATCATAATTTCGCGCCCGAACAAATTTCATTATCTTTTTCTCGCCCTTTTCGTTTTCTGCCCGAGCTCACAGAGAGAGAGAGAGAGAGAGAGAGAGAGAGAGAGAGAGAGAGAGTGGGAGCAGTTGTTCAAACGAAAGGGAATTCCCCGAAAAGTGTGATCGCACGCACAGTTTTCCGCCACCTACGCTTCAGTATTTTCGTGCCCCTCGTGGAATGCCATTTATTTTGATTCGAAGAGCTCTACACCACAGGTTCACACTTTTCAGGGCAATCGCGCTCTACCGCACAAACCACATTTGTAGCGGTAGAACGCGATTGGATTTCCTCATGAATTTCACGCAAAGTTCAGTAGAGCGCTATTGTCAGACTTCTATGGTCAACACTTAATTACAATTTTGCAGATATATCGCAAAAAACTCACAACTTCAATCGCCAACAGCCAACAAAAAAATGGAGGTGGACCCGTCGCTTCCATCCGGATCCGCTGGCCCGAATCACATCAACACTACCACGGGCTCCGCGAGCCACATCACGTGCCCGTCCACGTCGCAAGCCGGCACGAGCGCCGAAAACGGCGACACTATGGCGACGACGCCGAAATCGGGCAGGAAATGGAAGAAATCGAAGGCGGCGAAGCAGGGAAGCGGCGGCGGGAGTTCGGGAAGTTCATCCGGTAGTCAGCAGCAGGGGACAGCGGCGGGACCGCAGCCGGTGCTCGGAGTACGGCTCGCCGATTGTCCGATCGGAAATTGCGAGGATCACGTGCCGATGCTCGTGCAGATTTGTGTGTCGGTCGTCGAAACGCACGGAATGGACACAGTCGGAATCTACCGGATCCCCGGAAACACGGCGGCGGTGAATGCGCTGAAAGAATCGCTGTCGGCGCGAGGCTTCGACAGTATCGATCTGTCGAAGGTCGAATCGCTGGATCCGCGATGGCGAGACGTGAACGTCGTCTCTTCGCTCCTCAAAATGTTCCTGCGAAAACTGCCGGAACCGCTGCTTACCGACAAGCTCTACCCCTTCTTCATCGACGCGAATCGCATCTCCACCCACCATAATCGCCTTCACAAACTGCGGAATTTGCTCAGGAAGTTGCCGCGTCCCCACTATGACACCCTGCGATTCCTGATTCTTCATCTGGCAGAAATCACGCGTCACAGCGACGTGAACAAAATGGAATGTCGGAATTTGGCGCTCATGTTCGGACCCTCGATCGTACGGCCGTCCGATGACAACATGGCGACGATGGTGACGCACATGAGCGACCAGTGCAAGATTATCGAGACGCTCATTCATTATGTACGTTTATTTCGCAATGGAGCATGGTCGGTGAGAGTTTCAGTCTGATTGGATTATTCGATCTGACCGGAAAGCCGGCATTTCATAATCCAATCGGACCGAATCTCTTACTGAACACACAAACCTGAAATCTTATCATCGATGATTACGAATAACCGATTCATTGCAGAATATCTGGATGTTCAATGAGACCTCGACCACAGAAGATGCGGTGCCCGAGCAGCATCCAGCCGACGGCCAAAATCCTCTGGAGCCGGGATCCTATGGAGTCGGGGTGCCGACGGGAGTCTCGGCCGCCTCTTTCAACGATATGCACAATCTGATACGGAAAGCCAACGAGGATCAGGCGGCGGCGATGATGAACGAGGGCGGAAAAGGGCAGAAGATCAAGAATATGCTGAGGAGGAACTCGCGACGGGACAAGAGCAAGTCGAAGCTGAAGATCGAATCAACGGCGCCGGCAGCGGTGAATCCACGTGGCGCATGGACTCAGCCGACGCCGTCGAGCACTTCGGCTGCCAGTGTCGAGAGCGCATTCTGCGGTAACTATCAGGAAAGGGACATTGACGCGGAGATTGAATCCCGGCAAACCATCTCGCCGCAGATGACGTCCGGATCTGCAGACGGCGTGGAAGTCGCCTCCTCCTCGACTCGTCTCGATCAGAGTCCGTCGCTCGAAAGTTCGCTCGGAAGCCTTCCGGACACGTCGAGAACCGAACCGATTATTGGCGGTTCGGCAGGAGAGGACGAGGAGGCGAAAGAGGCGGCGAGACGGAAACGGCAAGAGGAGATGTACTCGGCACGGCGGATATTCATTGCGGGCGCCGGGGCTGCGGCCGGATCTGCCGACTCGGAAAAGGCTGCGATCGACGCGCTCGCCAATCACTCGCAACACCTCCATCTGGCGAGCAGTCCGGCCTTCGAAGTGTTGAGCGAAGAAACGCGCGAGAAGATTCGGAGAATGCAGAAGAAGCAGACGTGGCACGATACGAAAGAGTTGAGGGGCATCGGCGAGTTGTTGAAGACGTGCTCTCCCACAAAAGATCTGACCGACGCGCTTTCCTGCACTTCCGACTACTCGACGACGAGCTCGGCGCCATTGAGCACGAATCCGCCGTTGGCAGTCGCTTGCGGAGGAGTTGATCAGCCCAACTCGAGCTCCGACTACGCATCCAGGTAGAGCAATTTCTGTAAAGCATCCTAATAACCCATTTTTCAGTGATCCCTCTCCATGCGCTCGCAATCCGTCTACCTCGCCGGCTTCCCGCCCATCCAACCTCGGAATATCGCCCTCCCAACTCCATTCCACCTCGTCGGCCCTCACAACAGCAGCTCCGGCGCCGATGAGCCGCAGCCAGAAGATTCGGCTGCGCACGAAGCTCGGAGCCCGTGATCCCGCCCGTCGACACACTCTCTCCGATGTCGACACTCTCAAGGTATGTCAAATTGGATTTTTTCTAAATGGAATTTACGAGAAAAAACAGTAACAATTAGCCAAAGAGCCGCATAACCGTGCTGAAGAATTTCAGGAAGGCCGGCTCGACAAACTCGCTCGATGGTTCGGCATCCGGAAGTCGAGCCCGGATGTGAGCCGCGACGAGGTGTCCGACGAGGAGAAGAGCAGTGTGCATCCGGAAGCGCCGGTGCCGCCGGTCATCGTGCGAACCTCCCCGAATGAGCTGACTCCGGTGTCTGGCGATGAGCAACTCTAGAGCTCATTTCACCCGTGTTTTCCCTCCCTCCCGACAAAGCATGTGTCCATTTGTATACGGGTTGCCCTCCCCTTCTCATTCTTTCCCCCTCTTTTTCCCCGAAATGAACATTGTTAACGATTTTTCTTCTTCTTCTTTTTTGGCGGTGGGTTCTTTAGATGTTTTAAAGAATTCCGTCATTTCCTTCCCGCTCCTGATCTCTCACTTTTTAGCCGAAGCAGATTTTGCTGAACATTTTAGCAATCTCTTCCCCGAAATCCTCCCGTTTTTGTTACTATTATTGATTATTGTACACCCACTCACTCACTATCCCCTCTCAAAAACCCACCCAGATTTTTCATTCACACCCCGAGAATATCATCGTTTTTGTGTACCGCCGGTATGAAATTCATTTCGCATACATATTTCTTTCCTTTGTATTTTCTCTTTTTTATCATCACATCATCCATTCATTCACTCATTTCCTTTCTTCATTTCCTTTTTTCTCACAAAAACTTCACGAAAAAGAGTAAACTAATTTGAAATTTGAGTTTTTGTGCACATTGCATACGATATCTGATGTATCCACTGTATGGTAATGTGAGCAGGACTGTTAGGAGTTCCTGAAGGATCCTAATTACTGTTAACAATATCGAGTGACCTCCTTTCCTCCTTTCTTTCCTAACGATGACTGCCCAAAGACTTCCGAAGTTAGCGTTCGGATTTTGTTAATCACTTCCCTACTTGTGTGGGGTTGTTTAGTCTTTGTATTGGCATTAGTCAAACTCTCATCCACATAACGTACTTTCTGAATTTGCCACCATAATGAATGGAAATCCGTTGTGCTGATGGGACCAGAAACCCTGACACGGATCAGCTTATGGCCCCACCGTTTTCATACGCTTTCAGGTCCCAGCAAGCCCCTGACAATTTTTAAAATTTAATTCGGCCTTCGCCGAGAACATTTTTTCGTCTGAAGAGACCATCATCGAATGGTCGCCAAGAGAGAACGTCATCAAATGGTTGCGCGTGCCACTCAACAGGAGTTTTGACATTTCGCACCGTTTCAACTTTTCGGCAGTTGAGATGATAACGGCTTCTTTTCACCTGATTTGGTATCATACTCAGCTTGCATTTTAGAACGGTTTCCATAAACGGTTTTGCTTGTTATACCGAGCCATTTCCGCTTGTCTACTCACCCCTCCAGCGAACAAGCGTATGATAGGAACGGAGTGGAGACTAATCGGTGCTATTTGCCTAAAGCAAATCCGTTTGGTCTGAAACTTGGCAAAATAGTTAAAAACATGATAATAAACAGAATTTTGAAGTAGGGCCGCACCAATAGTGCGTCAGTACCTTTATACGGATAACGGTGGACCACCCTGTAGAAAAATATCAGTTTGCAGAAAAGGAGATTGTCAGAATTTAAACGATCGAGGCGGCGACAGAAGAGAAGATTCGAGAATCGATGGACAACTTCATTTCGTTCAGAAACCCGACAGAATTGAGGTTGTAATGGAATAGTTAAACGAATGAAGACGTCGTTGTATTTTATTGTTTTGTGTAATTACAAAGCTTATTTTCTTTTTATACTTCATTTGAATAAAATATTTCTTGTCTTTTTCAATGTTTTTGGGTTTTTGGGGGTATGATTGGAGACCAGCACCGTCGGCACACGTCCTTCGATGGTTTTCCGATGATTAGATGCCGCCTTCGCTGTCCTACACAGGTGATTAGCGCGCGCGAACCAATTCGTACCTAACGTCTGGTCTCGATCGGTCTACTGGGAGCCTATCCAATTATCATTTCAGCGATCAAGCTTCAAATGCTCTCATTTATCATTCGGCGGAAAACAGACTGCAATTTATTGTTCAAGAAGAAGAAGATCCAAGAAGAAAATGTGTGAGACCGTATGACTATTAGGGTTCAGCATATTACATGGAATGGGTACAATCAGGTTATTGTAATTATGATGATACATGAAATGTAAACGTATTAGAACAGGAGTATGATTTTAAAGTTCAATTTTCAATTTTTAGTCCTTTTAAGAGTGTCTGATGGCGATGCTCGGCGTCTTTTTGTGATGTTGTTGCGCTTGATGGTGGCGGAAAATCTGAAAGCTTTCAATTCGTGTGTGATTGGTGTGGTGATTCTCTCAAATTCTACGAACCTGTGAACTTCGGTGGCTTCCTTTGATGAGATCGAAACGAGAACTCCTTCGTATTGCCGTCCAGTGATGTGAGCATTCGGGCACTCAAACACTTCTCTTTCAGCCATCACAGTCTTCGAATCCGCGCCAGTGTTCTCCGCGATCTCCAGAATCTCAATGGAATCATCGTGCACGATGTAGAGGTACGGAGCCAAGAACGTGAACTCCAACGGCATCTTCTCCCATTCGATAGTCTCTCGGCGCGTCTGACGACCCTCTAGATTCACGAACACTCCGTAATTCTGATAGCAGAGGAGCACTTCGGAGCCGCCGATGAAATGCGCACTAATCGGATAATCAGACCGTCTCGCAGGCATCAACGCTCGGGCGCTCGTGCTGCTCTGATGGTCGAACGGCACGTGGTAGAAGGTGTCGGAGGCGAAAAGAACGCCTTGTGGAGAGCTTTCGATAAAGGTGACCGGCTCCGGAACTTCGAGCTTCGCGAAATGGCTGAAGACGTCGCGGGTGGCATTGTACTTTCTGATGTGCAAATGCGTGTCATCTGCGATCAACATGAATCTCTGTCCGTTCTGTTGATGGTAACGGATCGTGTTGACGTGGCCGAACTCTGGGAGCACCTCCGGACGGATAGAAGGCTGGATGCTCTGCATGGCGAGCGTGAGCGAATCCATCGGAATCAGAGCCATCTGCCCGCTACTATTCACAACCATTGCGATGCAATTGATTTCGGCCATAATCTCCATGGCGGTCACCGAGTTGGGGCCGGCGATGCGCAGCGGATTGCGTGGCTGCGAGATGCTCGTGAAGAAGATCCCCGTCTGCGTGGCGAACACGTACCAATCCTCGATCGTCAGAGTCTTGAAAATCTTCAAATTGTTCGGCTCCTGAAGCACCAGAAGACATGTGTTCTCGGCCATACACGAAGGCCGCGAGTTGAGCATCATTCTCTTCCGCTGCGCAGTCTGAAGGCAGTCGGCCCAGCGACACGCCGACGGCTGCGATGGAGCCAGAATGTAGAGCGAGCGACGTGGCATCTTGATCATCAGAACGTTGCTGGCACGCATAGAATCGTCGCACTCGACGGGCATCTCTTGGGCGGTGCGGAGAACCCACTGCTCTTGATTTAGATCGATCGAGAAGAACGGTTTGTCGAGATCGGCGCCGTCGTTGGTGTAAAACGCGATGCGGGTCAGGTCCATCATGGCCCACGAGGCGATCCACGTGGATCCCGGGTTGTCGTCGCGATAAACTCGCAGCCATCCGTTCATTCTTCCCTCGGAAACACCCGAACAATCGACGGTCGTGTGATTCTCGCGGTAGTAGTTGGCGCATTGCACCGGCATTCCGCACGTGTTACTGACTCGCGGCGCGCATGAAGCATGCACGTGCACATCGCAATGCGTGCACTTTTTGGCCTTCGCCAGCGCCGGAATGCCGACGAAGCACAGAGAGCATTTGGTGGAGAGCACGCCGAAGTGACGCAGATCTTTCCACTTGTGCGGAATGTCGTGCCGCATCGTACCTTGCCGCGGATGGCTAAGCTGACTGGCCGATTGACTCGTCTGCACACTCGTCCCCATCGTGATCGTCGTCGTGTTCGTCGTCGAGTGAGATTTGCTCTCCGCCAGTTGACGCTTCTTCGCAGCCAAATCGCGCAGCAGTTCTTGCCGCTGCTCTTCGAGCTTTTGAACTTCCTCGGCTTCTCGGATCTGAAAAATGGAAATGAAGTCGTCGAGTGAGTGAATCAAGTGCTTCTCTTACATAAACGGTAGTGTCCATCTCGGAAACGGTGCTCAGAAGCGTGCTCCGGCGTCCCAACTTGGGCTGCTTGCTCTGTTTGGCGTTGATTTGGCTGTGCAGATAGGTGACAACCTCCTCGGATTCGCTCACTTGCTGCGTTTTCTCTTGCAACTCCTCCTCCAATTTGTACTGGAAATTGGATTTCTCCTGTCTGACACTGATTGCCTTCTCACTCACCATTCTGCTCTCCTTCTCCCCGTTCTCCCGCTCCAGTCGCTCGCACGTCTCCTGCACATTGTGCCAATTTCGTTTGTACTCCTCCAATTTGACAACCGCGTCGGCCATCCCTTGCCGCGCACGTACATTCTCCTCGATTGTCTTATGATTTTCGGCGCGCTCTTTTTTGAGCATCTCCTCGATTTTTCGATTGTCGGCCATCACCTCTTCGAGTTTTTTCAGCGCACTCTTCAGCTCGTTCTCCTTCTTCGACAGCTTCAGTCGTAGTTGTGAGACTTCTGCGGATTGGTCCTGTCTTCGCTCCTTCTCCTTGTCCGCCGCCATCAACGCCAAATCGTTGCGGTAGTCCGAGTGAACCGCCTGAATTTCTTCCTTCATGTAATCCATCTTCTGCTGCTGACGATTGTATTCGGCTCTCAACGTCGCCAACTCTGCCTCCACTTTCCTCTGATTCTCGAGCGACGCCTTCAACCCACGGATCGTCACCACCATCTCGCCCACATTATCCTTGGCCCGATGACTGGATCGTTCGGCCTCTTCCTTCTGAGCTTTCAGACACGAATACTGCTGATCGGCCATCACCAGATGATGTCCCATTTGGCTGATCTTCTCGAGTGATCTGGCCAATTCTGCCTTCACCACCTCGTGCTCTCGTTTCAGAACCTCGAATCCGGCCATTCGGGCCTGCAACTCCTCCATTTGCTCGTCCTTGCGAGCACTAAGAACCACGAGCGACTGGATTTCCTTTTCGATGTCCTTCTTCTGCTCCGTGATCCGGCGGACCTCTTCTAGTGCGTCGTCTCGTTGCTTCTCGAGTCCTTGTTTCAACGTTTCAAAGCCTTCGAGTTGACGGCGAGTCTCAATGAGGTCACAACGGATGTCGGCTTTCTGACGTGTCAGCTGAAAAAAATGGGTTACTAGTTTAAAACATGTATAAACAAGAGCTCAAACCTTCAAATTCTCATTCTGCAAATATCGGGCGGCTTGCTCCGAATCGCCCATCGCCGCCGCCATCGTCTCCTTTAGACTGTCCAGCTCGTCCTTCGTCGCCTTCACCAACTCTTTCTTCTCCAGCAACTCTCTCTCCAATCGCGCATTCTTCGTCTTCAAATCACTCATAGTCTCATTGATGACTCTGGCGGACAATTGAATGAATTCTTCTCTTTCCTTATCCAGTCTCGGATTCTTTTTCACCGGAGTCAAGCATTCCAGGCGATCCGAAAGCTGTCTGACTTCGCTCAGAACTTTGCGAGTGTTCTCGGTCTCCCGATCCGCATCGACGCTCTTGCGGATCTCCTTGGCGAGCGATTCGCCGGAAGACTTTATCAGCTCGTCTTTCTGCATCATCTCCACCTGGATCCGGTCGATCTGCCGCTGCAGAGTCTCCACCTTCTCCTCCTGCACCTTCTTTTCTCTGGATTCCATAGTGATACGGGCTCTCAACAATGACAATTTGGCTTCAAGCTCTGCTATTTTTGTCTCGTAGCTCGTTCGTTGATTGTTGGTCTCCTGAATTTTGGTCTGCAGCTCATTGGTGAGCACGGCGTTGTCGTTCATCTTGTCCAACTGTATTTCTTCCAACACGTGGAACCTTTCTCTCAGAGACTCGAACTTCTGCTGCATTTCGAGCTTATCCTCTTCCGCTCTTTTGATCTCCTCTTTCAGATTCTGGTTCTCGATATCCACTCTGGTCACTTGTTCCTGAAGATCCCGAATCGAGCACTGCTTGCTTTTCAGATCATCCTCGAGAACGGACAAATCTCTTCGATAGAAACGTGTTTCTCGCGTCGATCTCACATTGCTGCTTTCGATAATCACACTTTCGTTGAGTCCTGCAGTGTTCACCAACTGATCTTGAAGAGTGTCCCGTTCTGATCGCAAATCTTGAATTATCGTTTCAGCCTCCAACAGCTTCGTCTTCAGCGTTTCGTTGCTCTCCTTAGACAGGTCAATCGTCTGAAAAATGAGTGATAATTTGTAATTTTCCAAAAATCGATACCGTACCTGATAGGGCGATGAATATCGTGGTGGACGGGGCGAGAGAGCCCTCCGTCGCGGAGTTCGTCCGCCTGTCACTGATTGTGGTGTTGTGTATACCGAATCGGCCATTTCTGCAACGAAAAAATTGAGAGAATACAAAGAAAAACGGCGAAACAGTGAAGGTTAACGAGATAAATTTGAAATTGCCTCCGGTTAACGCGCGTCGGATCTAGTGTCGCCGCAAACACGACGACGCGAATATGCACAGGGAGAAGTGAGAGACTGTGCGCATCGAAGAGACGCAGCGTTCGTTGACGAGGATAATTCAAATATGGTTATCGACCATGTGAAACTGGAATAAAAGCGTGACTTTTCTCACTATTCCCTGCATATAATTGACCTATTCAATTCCCGTTTTAACCAATCATGTTGTCATTTAGTCATCATACATCTGAAGGTGTAACACATCTAGTTTAACATTTACTTTGAACTTTTTTGTTCGTCGCCCCCACTATTTATATGTGGCCGTCAAACAGATGATTGTCAAAACATGCCTTCTTTTGTATTCTCCCTTTTTCTCGTCTTCGTTAGTCATATTTATGCGGGTATGTCTTCAGATAAAATTGAGTTGTTTCTAAGTAGCTGTAAAATTATAGACAACTGCATAGACAAGTTCTGTCCGCCCGGAACTTTCTGCGATGAACGTCCCGGACCGTGCGTGAAGCCCCCGTGCCGCACTATTCTCGCATGTCTCCCGGTCGAAGCCAACGGTTCGATAATACTCAATTTAAGTCCTAACTTTACTGTTCAGGATGTGCCCGAATGGAGTGCAAGAGTCCGCAAGTTTGCGTGGAGCGAGTCCGTCCGTGCATCGGAAGAGCCTGCAAGGAGATTGCCACGTGTGAGACGCCGAACACGTGCGCCGCAGTCGTCTGCCCACCGTCTCAGAAGTGTAAACTTGAGAACGGAAAGCCGACGTGCAAAAAGCACATCCCACCGACGCGCGGGATTATCGGAAAGGCGGTGCTTGACGAGAAACAGTTCAAGAATGATGAGTAATATATTTCATTCAAGTACATATTTAGCGATTTGAATATAAAACGTTTCCAACAAAGTTTAACGAGTTCCCAAGAATCCGAGAAGGCTTCCACCGCCTCCTCCCTTTCCTCCGAGCAGTTTTCCGGCCATCTGAAGTCCCTTGGACGCCATCTCGCTCGAGGCGCCCTTCTTGAACGTCTCGAAGAATGTGGAGAGCATTTTGAACGCGGCAGTCGGGTCGATGTTGTATTTTTTTGCTGAAAATGGGACCGATTTCAGTGTGTTCTTAAGATTCTCAAGAGCTTTTGTCATACCGGCCGCATCGAAAAGTTTGGTAGCCTTCGGAACGTGCTGGATCATGTCGTTCTTGATTTTGTCGTCGAGCTTCGTGTACTTGTCGAGGAAGTTGCGGAAGAAAGCCTGGGCGGCCAGGTTCTCGGGCTTCAGCGAGGGAACGCCCATCACTTGCTTTGTCATCTGAAGTCGCTCACCTTCTGAAGGCTCAGAACGTGTCACTTACATCAAAGAAGAACTTTTTGCTTTTGCCGCTAAGCGAATTGACATCCAGACCATTCTCGCCGAGTGCCACGTGGACAAACAGTACGGTTAGAAGAAATAGTAGAAAGTGTCTAGAATTCATGATGATTGCGCTCAGTCACCAAAATGAAAAGGTCTCGAGGTGTTGGGTTGGCATCCGATAAGCATCGCTGATCTCCACACTCTCGCGTGCTATTTCACTTTACAACGGAAGCAAAAGAGAGAGAGGAAAAACAAAAAATAAAGCGACAAATGTTCTTGAGGAGCGGGGAGCGAGCGAGTACAATTTGTTGTGAAGAGAAAATAAGAGGAAGTGAAAAAATGAGAGCGCAGTGTCGATTATCGGAATTTGAATGGACAAGACAAGAAATCAAGGTTTCAATTTTTCAAGACCATATGTCTCAGCTTCCTGCAAAGATATCGAAACATTGTCAACTAATCAATTGTTCATTAGTACATTGTGAACTTTTTATTAGTTGATCACTTTTTATATCTCCACAGACAGCCAAGATACATTGACTTGAATAAACGGTATTAAGGTTTACCCCTTTGCATTTTGTTCAATCCGAGTTTTGTGACCAGTCAACAGAAAAAGAAGTGATGAAAAATGTTCAATTACAGGCGGATTATCCTTTTTTGATCGCAGATCAACAGTTTTTGTTGTTTGAGAACAAACTTTAAATGTTACAAAAGGAACTGCCAAACTTCCGCCGCTACAACGAAAAGAACTTTTTTGAAAATAAAGCAATTTCAGGGTTCGAAACTTGCAGAGACTTTTGGATAATAGTCACCTATATCCTGTTGTGGACTGAATGGGAAAAGACAAGCTTACCGGAGCCCAAACTACAGTCTACTCCTCCGCTCTTTCGAACCGTACCGATCTTCGTTCGATTAATCTGCTCATTGGTTAGCAGACCCCACCACAAATCCGATGATCAACAGTGAATGGAATGGAATGGCGGTGCGAAATCCCACCCATCTCTCTATCTAACTTGGTACATAAACCGCTCAAAAACAATTTTGTTCGGTAAGAGTTTAATCTTCCCTTCTCTTCTCATTTTCCCCAAACTAACTGTCAAACTATTAAGTTTCAGACCGGGTTTCAGAATACTTCAGTTCAAAATGCGGTTGGCCTCTTTCCTCCTCGTTTCTTCGGTCGTTGTGGTCTTCGGACGGCCGTCTGGCTCGGATCTCACGGAGGAACAGTTCACGAATCTTCAGTTTACTGTTGACAAGCTGAATGCTATTCTCAAAGCCTATGCATCTTACAAACGTAATTCGAACGTTGAAGATGATCTAATTTGAAATTATTTCAGAGTATTTTCCGGATTATGTTTGGGAGCCGGTTGAGAACCTGACCGATGAGCAAAAGACTCAAATAGTGCAGATGGTCAATGACTATCACGCTGGAAAGTTCGAGCCGAAGAACTTCCAAGAGCTCCTGGCTGTCCTCCAGAAGAGCTATCCAGCTATTGCGAGCACCTATGAGACTGTGTACAATAAATATCAAGACCAGGTTGCCACTCTGGGACCGAAGGGCCAGGCTTTCGCCAAGGATGTAGGTGGAATCAACTGAGGCTTAAACTAAATTTTGTATTTAGATGGAAGCGCAAACTTACGCCGACGCCTCTCCGGACCGTATCGTCTGGGCTTGCCACATTTTCAACGGAGCCAAGTCGGCAGTCTCGCAGGCCAAGGCCCTGCTTCAGGATGATTCCGAGGCCGAGAAGATCGAGGCGGCGTTCCCAGAAGTGGTCAAGTTCATGAACAGCAAGGAGTTCGAGGCCTACGCGATCGTTGTGAACCAACTGCAGACGTTGGATTGCGTGAAGGACCGCGCACAAGTGTTCAACACCATCAAACTGTTCGACACACAAAGTGTCATCACCACTAACTGAGTTCCAATTTAGTACAAAGCATTGAGAAATAAAGCGTTCTAACCCCATTTTACCGGTTTTTTCGCGCAATTCCTAGCTTTTCGGTTCAATTAGTGGCCCCCTGGGTTAAACTGTTTCCTCGCGTTTCCCTCTCTCGCCCCAATCATCTTCCTCCCTCGTGTTGATCACGCTAAAAACACGCGCGGCGCACTTGTTCGTTCATTGACGGCGCGACGAGACAGTGCGTCGGAGGCGGAGACGGCGAGAGAAGTGTGGGCAGTCCGCATTCACGGCCCCGTCATCGTCACAAACTGCTGCGTCGGCCACCGCGCTGCGCCAGTGTTTCTTTCGCCAGTTATCACTTTATTTATGGTCGTGCCACGATGCATCATATCCGGCCGTCTGGATGATGCGCGGATTCTAAGCGTATCTAGGCGTCTAAACTGGTTTTCTCAACTGCGCTCCGTATAAGGTCATATCCAAATAGCGAGAGCTTCTACATTCAACATTCAGAATCTAATCTAAAATGCACGGGCGGACATTTCAAACTTCAAATTTCCAAACATCTTAAATGTCTGCGTTCCCGTGCACCCACATATTTTCCTTTTCTTCCCCCCACTTCTCCCCTTCCGCTCTCTTGTGCAGCTTCTTTTCGCTGTCGGCAAAAAAGATGAGCTGGAGGCACAAGAAGCACAGAGAAATCTATCTTTTGGCAGTTCTCACGGAGCACGAGCAGCCTCGCTTACTCGCTATTTTGCAATTGACAAATATTGAAAGGGAAACAAACATGGCCTGTTCAGAACTACTTCTATTCTGTTCGTCTTTTCTTTTTTCCATTCTCTGATGTTCTTACATGCAGAACAAATGAAAAAACATATTTCTGGCAGAATTGTTTCATTTCCTGTAATTAAAACACAGCGCACCACAAGAGTGTATATAAATATTTATTTACCTCCGTCACTTTTGATGTGTTATCAAACGGTAAAACAAGACTCTACAATCACAGTTTACACTATATTCTGACCAAAATTCATATAAAATTTAAAAATTTTCAATCCACGTGCACAGTTTTCTCGGAGTGGTCGTATTTTGTGACTTTTTCGTCTAAAGACCATCGCGACCAATCACGTTTTGCCGTCTGCACTAGAGAACGCTCAGCAACGTTTTTAGGACGCAAATATGTTTTATCGGAGAGAACAAGAGAAAAGAAACCATTTGATTTCTTATCAAAGGCACGCTGTTTCCTTGACCAGAGAGTGTTTTGATCACCTGATTTTGTTCGTTCAAATTTGAAACTTGAGACTTCCCGCGCAGCTGAAAGTGCTCAGTAGAGCGCGATTTCCAGATTCCTTCCGAATTAATTACTCGAATCCTTCAAATTCCAAAGTTCCTTTTGTGTTTTTTATAAGTTTCAAATTTCAGAGTCAATTCCAGCGAGCTCTCGTGAATGTCTGTACTCGAAAATGGCGGCGAGCAGCAACAACGATCGACAGTCTCATTCGATCATCTGTTGACTTCCGCAAAACGGCGTGAGATCCTTCAGAACTCGGGCGTCGGTCATGGAAACGGCTTGTTCTCGCCGTTCCGCACGGCTCGTTGTAATGCCGAGACGGCCATCAGTCAACGAGGTTTGCTGAAATTTTCTTTTCAATTGCAACAAAAAATGATAATCTAATTTCAGCCATACCTCGTGCGAACCCAGAGCATTTGCGCCCAATTTTCGATCGGTTTGCGTCGAAAGAGGTGAAAGGGAAGAAGGTGATGACGTCCGAGGACTTCATCCGCAGGTTTTTGGGCCTTTACACCGAAGACAACTACAACAAGGAGACCGTCCGACTTCTCGCCTCCGCCGCCGACACCACCAAAGACGGCGACATTTCGTTCGAAGAGTTCTGCGCGTTCGAAGCTCTCCTGTGCAGCCCTGATGCTCTTTACCTGACCGCTTTTGAACTTTTCGATCGCAACGCATCAGACACGATCAGTTGCGACGAGTTCGAGGCGATCATCCGCCACACGCAGCCGCTGCACGATCAGGATTTCGATTTCAACTCAGAATTCATCAAAAGATACTTCGGGGTGTCAGTTTCAGTTTCAGCACTTGAAAGTCGATTCTAGCTCGGCGGATTTCAGTGACAAGCAACGTAACGTCAACTACCACTCATTCTGTCAATTGCTCCACGATTTCTACGAGGAGCAAGGAATTCAGGCGTTCAAGAAGTACGATAAGAACGGCAATGGAACCATCTCTTCGGTGGACTTCCAGCAGATCATGACCACCGTCAAGGGACACTTGCTCACCGAGTTCGTCCGAAACAACTTGATCGCGGTGTCTGGCGGCGGTGCCAGTGGACACAAAGTTCGTTTTTTCGCCTGAACTTTTACGTTATAGTTTTGGTTTGCACTCCCCTACTCACATTTTGATAGGAATTCCAAGCAAAAATGCTGGAAGTGAGTTAGATAACGTCGTACTGTAAATAGTTAGAGTTTGGGTGTTGTGCTTACCCGAAGCATGTCGTGTTTTGCTCTTTTCTCATAGTTGTTTTCAGTTCTCGGACACGCGCAGCGGAATTGTGAGTTTCTCCTTCCCCTTTTTCCTCTGTTCTCAACTGTAATTTCTGTTTGTCTTCTTTTCATCACCTGTTTTTCTTGTGTTCACTGAGTTGATTTGCAGTTTTTGTTTAAAAACTAGTCCACGATGCATGTTTGAGCCAATCTGTGGTCTGTTCGAAGTCCTCCATCTTTTCAGGTCACTTTCCCCTATTATGCGGCTTTCAACAGCCTTCTGGCCAAGATGGAGCTCATCAAGAGGGTCTACGTGTCGAATGCGCGCGGTAATCTCGACATTGAGATGACCAAAGAGGAGTTTTTGCACGCGATTCAGAGCTACACGCAGATCACGCCGTACGAGGTGAGATCCAGGGGTTTTCTTGAAAATACAGACAAAACCTCTCGTTGTTTAGGTAGAAATCTTGTTCCACCTGTCCGAACTGAACCATCCGGGACGGAAGACGCTCAGCCTCAAAGATATCCAGGCGATCGATCCGGAACGACTGAAGAGAGTCTCCCAAATGGACCGACTCATCAACATTAAAGCGGTGCACCACAAAGACGAAAGAGGCATGGGCATTGCGGTAATTTAAAAAAGTATTCTTTTGTTTTATTGTTTCTTTTCCAGTTCCTCGAGTCCGCCTACCGTTTCCTGCTCGGTTCGATTGCAGGAGCGTGCGGAGCGACCGCCGTCTATCCGATCGATCTGGTGAAGACGAGAATGCAGAACCAGCGCACCGGCTCGTTCGTCGGAGAAGTCATGTACAAGAACTCGTTGGACTGCTTCAAAAAGGTCATCAAATTCGAGGGTCTTCTCGGCCTATACCGAGGACTTTTGCCGCAAATCGTCGGAGTCGCACCGGAGAAGGCTATCAAGCTGACGATGAACGACTACATGCGCGACAAGTTCACGACGGACGGCAAGATTCCGCTGTACGGAGAGATTATTGCCGGAGGAACCGGAGGAATGTGCCAGGTCGTGTTCACCAACCCGCTAGAGATTGTGAAAATCCGTCTGCAAACCGCCGGAGAAGTGCAACAAGCAGGCAAGAAGATCGGCGTGTTCACGGTGCTCAAAGAGCTCGGATTCCTGGGACTCTACAAGGGATCTCGTGCCTGCTTCCTCCGTGATATTCCCTTCTCGGCCATCTATTTCCCGGCCTACGCTCATGCTAAGCTCGCGACGGCCGATGAGGACGGAATGAACTCTCCGGGAACACTTTTCTGCTCCGCTTTCATCGCAGGAGTTCCCGCGGCTGGATTGGTCACTCCGGCAGACGTCATCAAAACCCGACTTCAGGTGGCTGCGAGAGCTGGACAGACCACGTACAATGGTGTTATTGGTAGGGCTTTTGAAAAAGATTGAGACAGTTTCTAACCGGAAATATTGCAGATTGCTTCCGAAAACTTGTAAAGGAGGAGGGTCCGATGTCCCTGTGGAAGGGAACAGGCGCCCGTGTGTGCCGCTCGAGTCCCCAGTTCGCCGTCACCCTGCTCACCTACGAAGTGCTCCAACGTCTCTTCTACGTCGACTTCGCCGGATCGCGCCCGACCGGATCCGAGTTGGCGACCACGAAAACCATCCAGGACGAGTCGTCAACGAACCCAGATCATGTCGGAGGCTACAAACTCGCAGCCGCCACGTTCTCGGGCATCGAGCACAAATTCGGACTGTTCTTGCCGAGGTTCGAGACGAGAAAGTAGTGGCCGGAGCCCCCGACTCAACCGGAGGTCCCGAACGATTCTTTTTAGGACACAGTTGTTCCCCTATTACTAGCCACCAGTGTATCGACATGTAATTTTTGTTTTTTTTCGCCCCCACACAGCAATTCATAATTTTTCCTCGATTTTTTGTACTTTGCCTTCTTTCTTCTTTAAACCTTTCTCTCCATTTGAAGGAAGGCGCTATTTTCAGACACATTGGTCTGAAATATTTTCTAGTTCTCCGGGTTCTACGTCCCAAAACATTTTTCTTTTTTTAATTTCAAAGTTTGTCATCAAAGTGCCTATTCACCCACAGAAGTTTCGCTCAATTGTTTAGTTTCTTTTTTACTCGGTTTACTCGGTCGTACGTAGATAAAATGTGCAGAGATGTTTAATAAATTGGATGTACCCTTTATGTGCTATACAATGAACTCTAGGACAGGCAACTGGGTAAGAACCGCTAGTATAAAAATGATCGGTGGGCAGGCGTTGGTTTCGAGTGGATACACAAAAGCTCATTTCGGAGGGCTCAAATTGGTCTTGGTGACGGTCGGAGTGGGCGCTGAAAGATTACAGATTACCACCGTGGATCCTCAAGATTCAATTGATTACATTCTTGGAACGAATACCACGTCTGCTCAGCGTGAGCTCTTCCCGTCTTAGCAACGTCGACCGCCTCAACAGGATAGCAGAACGCGGCCATCGTGGCCAAACCGATCGTGGTGGTGAAAAGACGTCCAACGGGTCCTCGCTTCAGTCCCAACACGAATCCGGCCATTCCGCCGACGGTGATCGCGGCGGCTTTCGGCAGGGCCGTCCACTCTTCGGTCAGGTATTCGTTGCATCTCGTCGCCGCCTTCTTCGTCTGCGTCACGGCACAATCAACCACCTTGAAGCGCTCGGCGACGCGAGCGTACTCTTGTGCGCAGGCTATGCGGATAGTGGCGAACTCCCGTTGCAGCGGAAGCGGCTCTTCCGGAAGAAACTTCTGAGCCAGCGGAGCATTGTCTTCGGCGTAGAGCGGAAGCTGGAATCAAATAGACAGATGAGGTCAATTTTACGCAATTTCTACTTGAACTTTTCGCAATCATTGCTTAAAGCTTGCGCTAAAATTGCATAAAGTTTTTCAGAATTTCTTTAAGAACCTTAAGCAGTTTTTACGCAAACTTTAAGGACCTTACAATTTTAGCGTAAACCTTAAGGTTTTTATTAGAAATTGCGTAAAGTTTGCGCAAATTCTAACCAAGACTGCCGAGTGAGACTTCAGAATCCTTACCTGATCGATTTTAACCGGCTTTGAGTCAACACCAGACTTTGCCGTTTGCTTGGAAGTGACCAGCTGCCAGAACTGTCCCAATGCATTAGTCACCTGATCGCCGGCATTGGAGATTGTCTCTACGATCGGCTTCTCTTGCGACATCTGATACAGGAATGAAAAATGAACCGATAAAAACTATAAATAAATGACGCAAAAATATGAACCTTGGTCTTTGTAAACCATTATAAACAAAGCTGATAACTGTCGCATCCGAATAATTTATTACGAAAGAGGAAAAGGAGGTCAATGGAGATCTATCCTTAAATAAAACAAGATAAATAAGGAATCTTAATGTATCGGCGTAGCGAGACGATGAAGGTAACGAGCAAAAACGTAAAAAAGTGGAAATGGTTGAGTCTGTAGACCTCTGTTTTCAAGAATGTTTATGGAACGTGAAGTCGATTACGAGCGGGATCTTCCTCCTCTGTGAATCGGAGAACGCGAGCGGCTGGCACGGCGGAATCTGCTTGGTCCCAGAGGCATTTGATTGGCTCCGGATCCGCGTGGCGGTGGGGAACGACGACGTGGTGGCGAGCTTCTGTAACCTCTTCAAAAAAAGATTTTCAGAATAGCGAAGAGCGAATTACCCTCTGCGGACCGGCGACTTCCTGTCTCTATCGCGATCTCTCGGTGGCGGCGAGGCACGTCTTCTGACTGGCGACAAACGGCGCGGCGGCACGTGAGCCGTTTGACGACCCACGGTCATCTCGACCTGCACAACGAGTCCGTCGATTTGTCCGCCGTCCATATGCTTGATTGACTTTTCGGCATCGTCGATATTCTCGTAATCCACATATCCGTAACCGCGGTGGATGTGGGTGTGGAAGCGATCTGTTGGCAAGTCGACGTTCTTGATGGCTCCATAGATTGAAAAAATCTCCTCCAGATGAGCGCGCAACACGTTCTTGCTGAGATTTTTGATGACGACACGTCTGACAGGGCTTGCAGAGCGAGCAATCGGGCTGCTTCTTCTCGGAGAACGTCTTCTCTGACGGCTTCCACTTCTGTCGCGACGATCACGATCACGACGTGACGATGGAGAGCGACGACGACGTGGAGACGGAGACCCACGCGGACGATCACGATCGCCACCTCCACGATCTGGACGAGCACGCGGAGGCGATCCGCGGCGGATCGGAGAACGAGAGCGGGAACGACCGCCACCGCCGCCGCGCGCCGGACGATTCTCCCGGCGACGTGGCGAGCGCGAGCGAGAGCTCGAAGAGGAGCTCGACGAGCGGGAACCAGATGAGCTACTTCTGGAAGAAATGTCGATAAGCCAAAGTGAAGGATTATGAAGACTTACCCAGAAGATGAGGAACCCGAACTGCTGGACGAGCTGCTCGACGACGAACGTCCTCGCTTCTTATTTTCGTCTTTTTCAACCATTCTGAAATTCAAAAAAAAAATCAATAGAACAAATGAAATCGAGAGCGAAATTTGAATTTCGAAGAAAAATAGTGACCGTGAGAAACTGCGTAGAAATTTATAACGCATTACTATACACAACAATTTGAGAAATTTAATTAAAAAGTCGCTGAAATAACACATTAATTGTGAAACAATCTAAAAAAAAACGACACTAAAAAGAGCAGACTACTGCGCAATTCAATGTGACGCCGAAAATTGGCGAAACTGAACCCACGGCTAAACAACGCGCCGAGCGGAATAACGGAGTGTCGTTGAGCATTTTCGCAGTTCGAGAGTCCGTGACAAAAAGTCGCGGACGCAACTGAAGCTCCGCCCCTTTCTCACCTTTTTGTTTCTCCCGTTTTCCCGGTTCCCCTGTTTGAATTTCCCCTTTTCTTTTCTCTCGTTTCTCCCCAAACGGTACGGCCTCGCTCGACGTCGACGTCTTCATGCAGATCTTCAGAGTATGGACGAAGATGAGACTCCGGAAATCAAGTTCATCGACCAGGACGACTACGAACGCTATGGAAGTGAAGAGGAACTATCAAAATTTGAAATTCGCTGGATTGATTCTTATGAACAAGGTTTGATTCAAGATTCGCTCAAAAACGAGAAGATTTTGATTTTCAGAAAAGAAATTAAGCAAGTTGCTGTCACTGTTCCTTGCGCCCATACATAGACAACTTAAATTGGGCTACCGGATAACGCATAAATACGTAAAAACGTTGCAATACCAGGGAGCAGAAGTGTTTGGACTGAACGATACAAGACTACGAGTAATGTCGCCGCGAGCGATTGAGACGACGGGAAATCTTCCGTACCTTTTGCAAAAGATTTCAGAAGTCAGAAAGTCGGTCAATCTCGCTCACTACATCGCTACTGTAATAAATAAGATGGGCGTGACCAGTGAAAATCCCTACGAAAACCTGTAAGCCAAAAATTTGCAAAAATTTAAGTGCAATTGTGTTTGTGTTTCCAGAAGAAGCACAATCTATGAACGAATGAGCCATCTCTACCTGTTTCATCAAGGCTACCGACCCGGACTGGAGTATCTTCTGGCCAACTACCGCATGCTCCGTCAATTCCGCTTCATCTCTGCATCCCACGCGCATGTGAAGGAGGTTCAGAAACTCTACAGAACTGATACTGCATTCATGCTGTATCCACAAGCCAATCTTCTGGCTCTGCAATCGATTCTCGACGACTGGAATTGTCCTTTCAAAATAGACAAAATCCTGCAAATTGCTCACGCGAACACGCTTCAAATGAGAACATTGTACGTTAAAGGAGACGTACTCGCCGTGCTCAACGAGGCGCTTCTCTGTGTGCTCGCGTTCAATAACGGCGAGGCTCAAGAGGAAATTGAGAATTTCGACTCAATCGTCGGACAATTGTCCACGAATCAGAAGCAAAAGCGGAGACTGCAGTTGTGGAAGATGATTTCAAAGTTTGAGCGAGTTCCGAAGCTGAATCCGCAGGGATTTTTGATCAACGCTCAGAGACTCGAAGAAGAGTGCGTGACGGAAGATATCGGTCCGGAGTGCACTGTGATGGTGGAGACGGCGTGCAAAATTCGGAGCCTGTGTCAGAAACAAGAGGAGGAAATGTGGGTGGTTCTGAAGAAGTTCTTCATAATTCTTGTTCTTTTTCAGTGCGAAAACCATGTTAGATACTGCAACACGTTACCCATCGCTGGGTCCTCGGATGATGCAGATCGCGGAGAAGTGCAACATCGGATATGAGGCTGACGTGCTTATGGAGCAGATTTGTGACTCCTCGGATCCAAACACGCAACTCCATCCCTCCGAACCCACGTGGCTCGTGTACGTCGAGAAGCAAATGAGCCGAATCGGAAAGAATGGATCGATTCGACAGACGCTTCAAAAGTTGCTGAGAGTCATGTTCGAGTTTCTCGATTTCGATAGCAATCGGCTGAACGAGAAGGCGTGGGAGCTGATGAAGACTGTGTTGGAGCTGTCGGATCCGTCGCTTGTGGTGCCCGAATGGGAGACGAGACGGAATTGGTGGTCGCGGTTTCACAAGACGCGAGCCAGAGATGGACGGAAAATGCGAAAGGAGGCGAGAAGCACGAAGCGATCCGTTTTGGAGGCGTTAGAATCTTTTTTGACCTAGTGTACGTTCTTTTTACTATCGATCTTTTCATTGTTGAATTCTTTATTGTTGATATTGTTGTTATCCCGGTTTTAAATCTTTGCATTTCATGACCTATATTCCCTGAACTTCAAAGCTTGATAATAGCTTTAAATACATTAGAGTTCAGAATAATAATGCACCCTATTTGAATTTTTCAGATCTCATGGGCGATGTACTCCTCTCCAAACTGTCCGGAGAGCTCGCCGACCTGGACGGGCAAATCGGCATCATCGACAAGGAGATCAGTCAGTTGAGACGAAGGAAATCGGAGTTGATACAAAAAAAACAAGCTGTAAATTAGTCGAAATTTTCCTCTTCTAGAGCTCTAACCTCATCAAAATTCCAGTTAGAACGGAAAATTGAGTTGAAAACCAACGAGGACTCGGATGTGGTGCTGGAACGATGGGACCGCGATGGATTCGAATGGTCGGACGAAGCGAATCGAGTGCTCAAGGAGAACTTCAAACTGGACGTCTTCCGTCCGCTTCAAAAAGCCGCGATCAATGCGGTGATGAGCAAGGAGGACGCACTGGTGATTCTGAGCACGGGCGGCGGCAAAAGTCTGTGCTATCAACTGCCCGCGCTTCTGGCCAACGGGCTCACTCTGGTGGTCTCTCCGCTGGTTTCTCTTGTCGAGGACCAGATTATTCAGTTGAGAAGGCTCGGAATCGATGCATCCAGTCTGAATGCGAATACATCTAAGGAAGAAGCGAAGCGAGTGGAAGATGCCATCACTCGGAACAATTCAGACTTCCGACTGCTCTATGTGACTCCGGAGAAGCTGGCAAAGAGCAAACGGATGATGAATAAGTTGGAGAAGTCCCTGGCCGTCGGATTTCTGAAACTGATTGCCATCGACGAGGTCCACTGTTGCTCTCAATGGGGGCACGACTTCCGAACCGATTACGGCTTTTTGAATGTTCTGAAACGACAGTTCAAAGGAGTGCCCATTCTTGGTCTGACTGCCACGGCGACAAGCAGTGTGCTCGAAGACGTGAAGGAGATGCTCGGGATTCAGGCGGCTCTCGTCTTTCGTGCAGGCTTCAATCGATCGAATTTGAAGTACGAGGTGGTTCAGAAGACGAGTAATGAAGAGGAGTGCGTTGAGCAAATTTCGAAGATTATCAAAAGTCGATTTAACGGACAGACTGGAATCGTGTACTGCCTGTCGAGAAACGATTGTGAGAAAGTGGCCAAGGCATTGAAGTCAGATTAACTATGAAATTTCTCAAAAAACCGCCAAATTTTCAGAACGCACGGCATCCGAGCAAAGCACTACCACGCCTACATGGAGCCGCAGAACCGAAGCGCCTCCCACGAGAACTGGCTCAACGGAAAGCACCAAGTGATCGTGGCAACTGTGGCGTTCGGAATGGGAATCGACAAGCCGGACGTCCGTTTTGTCATCCATCACTCCATCCCCAAATCTATCGAAAACTACTACCAAGAGAGCGGAAGAGCGGGAAGAGACGGACTCCCGGCCGCCTGTATTCTCTTCTACCGTCTCGCCGACGTCTTCAAGCAATCGAGCATGGTTCAGCAGGAGAGAACCGGCATTCAGAACCTGTACAATGTGGTGAGATACGCGTCGGATGCGACCACCTGCAGAAGAGTCCGTCTCGCGGAGCACTTCGAGGAGCCCTGGGAACCGTCGTGGTGTCAGAAGCAGTGCGATGTTTGCGAACAGGAGAAGACGTCGACGGGCACGATGGATGTGAAGGAAGAGGCGAAAACGGCGGTTCGAATTATTGAAGAGAATCTAGCGTCGGCCAAGGATAGTAGTGGACGAATCACTGGGAATAAGTTGGCGGATCTGTTGGCGAAAAAGTTGAAGGAGCTGGGAAAAGAGTTCTGCGAACGACTCATCGTCTTTCTTCTTCTGGAAGGATACCTTCAAGAGGACTTTCATTATACGGTCTACTCTGTCATCAGTTACGTGGTAGTTGGAGCCAAGTGGCGAGTTTACAACGGAAAAGATGCGATTCTGATGCCCACTGAAACGATTAAGAAGAAAAGCCGGAAAAGAAAAGCTGCGCCTTCTGCAGATTCCGATGACGAAATTGTTGTGCTCGATGACTAATACATTTCTTAAACGTTTGTGTCATAAAGTGTTAATATTTGAAATCAAAATGTTCAATTAATACTCTGTAAGGTTTATTAAACCCTGATTATTATGTTGTTCTACTCAAAAAATCAATTTCCTATCACGTATCTCCAGAATGCCAACGATCCGCTCGAACCTGAGTATTCCGCTCTCCAGCCTCAGCAAAATTGACGATGATCGGATGGAAGTGGATTCAGAAGGCGATAAAAGAAGCGCAACGAGCTTCAGGCCCTTGTGTGAGTTTCCCAGAGATAATTCGGATAAATTTAACGCTTTTCCAGGCGTCAAATGTGGAGTTTTTGGAGCGCAGAACGGCTCCGGATACGCAGAATTCGGAAACACGAGAGTACTTGCACAAATGTAATAAAATAAAATTTTAACACGAAACAACCAGATTTTCTACAGAACTGGCCCGGATAGCGACGGAAAATGGGAGGAGAGCTACGCGAAGATCACAGTGAGCATCAAAGGACTGGACGATTCTCGGATCGCAGAGTACCGTGCTCAACTGACATCCTCCCTGACGGCCGTAATTTTCGCCAACAAGTACCCGGGAAAAGTGATCGACATTGAGATCACTGTGATTTCTGATGACGGCGGAGTGCTCGCCACTGCTCTCACAGCCGCCACGCTGGCATTGGCCCATTCCGGAATCGAAAACATGGGGTTGACGGCTAGTGTACACGTGGCACTCGCGCCCAACGAAGACTACATAACCGATCCGAGCACCTCCGAACTCAATACGTCAATTGGAGGAGTCACCCTCGCCTTCGTGCCGAATCTCGATCAGACGACGTGTGTGGACATACACGGACGGATTCCCCTTCAGAAGATCCCGGTGCTTCTTGAGTTTGCGAAACAACGTGCCATCGCAATTGTGCCCACACTCCACAAGGCTGTAGTGAACAGTATTCGCGAGAGGGCCAAGAAGTGACGGAGAGACGCGATGCAACCGCGCCCCGTCGCACACTGGGTAAATAATTGCAAGTCGGCGACTTATTTGTTGTATTCCTCCGTTAGTCACCTTCTTTTCCCTGTTGATTTTCTCTTCTTTCTGTTGTTGACGAATATTCTCCGATGAATCTTCTTATTTTAGCCGTCTCTTTCTCTCTCCGATTATCGTAGAGTCGTCAATCGATTTCCTAATACCTTTCTAATCGTTCGCTGTGAATAGTTGAAAACAGTCTATTCAGGCCACCGACAATGATTATTCTCGAGCAGAATAACCGAATTATTGTCGAGCTCCTTGAGCAAAAGTTCGCAAACGCTAAAGAAGGGTGAGTTTGCGGCGGAGCAGCTAGATAAGTTTTAATTCTTCATTTCTCAGAGCGAAACACGAAACGGTGAATGTGACGTTTGCCGATTTCGACGGTGTTCTCTACAAATTGTCGAATCCAGATGGTGATCGCAGCAAAATAATTGTGAGTTTCACACAAAATCTGGATACAGAATAAATGGTCTTTTCAGTTGAGCATTGCGCTGAAATTCTACACAGAACTCCAACAACACGGCGCCGATGATGTGAGTTTAAAAAAAAACTATTTGCTCGACTAACAATAATTTTCTTAGCTTCTGCAACGAGTTTACGGCGGAAACATGCGCTCATCGCCAGAATCGGGCTTCAACGTCACGCTCGAGTACGATTTGAACGCACTGCCGGCAGAAACGACGGATTTGGTGCAGAAGGCGTCGGGGCTGAAGAGAAACTGCTTCGCGTCGGTCTTCGAAAAGTATTTCGAGTTCCAAGAAGCCGGACAGGAAGGGCACAAGAGAGCGGTGATCAACTACAGAGAGGACGAGACAATGTGAGATATTTTGTGCTCAAGTTACTCATTTAAAAATGCGTTTTTCTTTTAGGTACATCGAAGCGAAATCAGATCGTGTGACGGTCATCTTCAGTACAGTCTTCAAAGACGCCGATGACGTCATAATCGGAAAAGTGTTCCTGCAGGAGTTCCGCGAAGGTCGGAAGGCCAGCCAGACGGCGCCGGCGGTGCTCTACTCTCTGGGCGAGCCGCCGCTCGAGCTCAAGGATCTGCCGGGAGCGAAAGTCGGCGACAACGTCGGCTACATAACGTTCGTGCTGTTCCCGAGGCATACGAACAAGAAGACGCGGGACAACACGATCGACCTGATCCACTCGTTCCGGGACTACCTGCACTACCACATCAAGTGCTCCAAAGTCTACCTGCACACTCGGATGCGCGCAAAGACCACCGACTTTCTGAAGGTGCTGAATCGCGCGCGACCGGAGGTGAAGGGCGAGAAGAAGACGTTCAGCGGCCGTACATTCCAAACTCAATAGTCTATTCCATTCTGTCGAGTCTGTATGTACAAATTTTTTATTCCGCTTTAAAATTGTTCACCACTCCGCACCCCCGATTATATTCCTTTTCCCTCTCCTTATCTACTGTGACTTCTGTGAATTATGTTTGAAATTTCGCGAAATTAACAAAAATCATGACGTTGGTATGGTCGCCGCGGTACATTGTAGTTGAGAGACGCCAGAGAAGTATTAAAACGACCTTGACAAGCGGCGAAATGTTTTCACTCGACAATTTCCCATGGTTTTACTAATAGTCGTCGTTCGTCTCCTCCAATTCTTCTACTATCTCAAGTTTTCGGCTCTTCTCCTTCTGGGATTCGCTCTCAGAGGGAAGAGGCTCTTTTGGAAGGTGCACAGAGAGAAACCAGAGTGTTTGGAAGGATGGAACAGTCGGTATATCAAATTGAAGGTGATAGTAAATGACCGGAAAAACAAAAAAGTAGTATTTAGAAAGTACGACTTCATTACGTTCAAACTGGATCCGACGACAAGCCTCTCATGCTTTTCATCCATGGATATCCAGAATTTTGGTATTCGTGGCGCTTCCAGTTGAAGGAATTCGCCGATCGATACAGGTTTGTTTTAAAATATTGCCGGACAAGCCTGAAACCCGGCGTTGCCGGGTTTCAGGCTTGGCTACGGGCATTGAAAATTGAGAGATAGGGCGCGATTTAAACGCAGGTCACTAATTTTCAGATGCGTGGCAATCGACCAACGCGGCTACAATCTTTCGGACAAACCGAAACTCGTTGAAAACTACTCGATTGACGAGCTTACCGGCGACGTGAGGGATGTGATCGAAGAGCTCGGCTACGAGAAAGCGATCGTGGTCGCGCACGACTGGGGAGGTCTCGTCGCCTGGGAGTTCGCGGCTCGTTTTCCAGAAATGGTCGAAAAACTGATCTGCTGCAACATTCCTCGCCCGGGCGCGTTCGCCAAGAGACTCTCTGGCAGTTGGTCGCAATTCAGAAAAAGCTGGTACATATTCTTTTACCAAAACGAGAAGATTCCGGAGCTTCTGTGTGTTGCGGATGACATGAAAATGCTCGAAATGTGCTTCAGAGCTAAGCCAATGGGCATTCGAAATTCGCAGAACTTTACCGACGAGGATCTGGAGGCGTGGAAGTATTCGTTTTCGATGAACGGCGCCTCGTTCAAGTATCCCATCAATTATTACAGAAACATTTTTACCAATTTGAAGCCGAAGAGAGATCCGATTCTGGAGGTTAGTTAACTTCAACTTGATGGGACCGTCTTGATTGTCAACTAATGTTTCCAGATGCCCACTCTCATCATCTGGGGAACCGGCGACGGCGCGTTGGACGTGGAGGCCGCTGAGGAGAGCTGCAAAACGCTGCGAAACGCAACATTCAAGACGATTCCAGGCGCGTCGCACTGGGTACAACAGGACGAACCGGAGCTCGTCAACTCGTATATCACCGATTTTTTGCGGCAATAATGAAAATTGCATAAAATGTGTTGACTCGAGATTGTTTGGATACGAAGCGGAAAAAATACTGGAAGAAGGCGTACACTCAAATTCAATTTTCAAAAATTTGAGCGATAGAGCAAGACGAGATAGCACTTTTATATTCGTAGCGCTTAGAAACGTAGATATTTAAAATTTTTGCAGGACTTTGCCACCAAGCATTCTAGAGCGCCTTTCAATGTCTAAAAACAAACAGAAAACAATTGCGTTATGCGCTTTGAGTTCACGTTCTGAACCAGCAAAAACACGAGCGTATAATAAACGTAATTCGACACCGCTTCTCTATTGTTTTGGACCGCATCGTGAGCGCGTTCCCGGCCTGTCAAGTGTGCGTGTGATCCACGCGATCTAATTTTGACAGTGTCTTTGTCTTTGTTCTTCCCCAGCCCGCCAAGTGCCTTCGGCTCTAAAAACAGCAAACCAGTATGAACCCCGACAATAACTTTGTTTCTTCGGCCTACGCGGCTCTGTGCTCTGTGAGCAACTCTGGTGAGCCCTCAAGTACCGCAATCAAACATGCCTCTTGCTCTTCACGGAAAGAGCGATAGAGGAAGGGAAAAGGAAACAAGAATAGAGGAAATCGCCGTTGTAACTGTTTCTGTCGAGTAACTCATTTGGCTGTTTGATAACGTCTTCTTTCGTGCAACTAGGTTCTCTTTGTGATAATGATTGGTTTGGGAGACCGCATTGATAATTCTAATCATCAATGAATAGGTCAATCATCAATAAATGCTAGGCAGGTTACGCGCACTCCTGGGTCCCAATCATCATAGTAACTTTCTGTGCCAACAATATTGCCCATTTTCTAAGAGCCTAGCTTCAAGCTGCACTAGATAATCACTTGATACCTTGCTAATGCATCTATCCTTCTCGCCCCATACCAGTGAGGACCATCAAGTGCAATTGACACCATTAGCTGTTCCGATGGCTCCCCTTCAGTGTCAACAGTCCCGCCAACTCTGTTTGCCACCTTTCCTGTCACTGTACGCCTAAAAGACAAAGCCTCTTATCCCTTTCCGTTCCTCATCCAAATTTCCCCTGGTTTCATTCATCTCATCTCATTTTCCCTCTTAATTGTGTGTGTGTGTGTGACGCAAGTTCATTTGGTATGTATCCAAACAGCCAATAAACCCCGTTTCGGACCGATACGGTGGCGGAGACAATAGTTTTAGTGGTAGTGACCCCCCGCGAGAGGGTTGCAAATTTTCTAATCGGTTTCGGAAGTTGCGAAGGGTAGTCCAATCTCAAAAAAAGATTAATTCCTCTTTGTTCCTCCTTGTCCAAACTTGCGTGTCCTTCGTTCTCAGCTGATGGAAGATGGCCATCGAAGCCCGTCGTGGTACCAATTGACAGCTGCTGCTGGTGTACGTAAACTCTGATCAGTCTGTGTGTGTGTGTGTTTGCCACTGACCCTTTCTTTTGGTCCTTCATCATTACATTTCCGTTCTTGATCTGCCCGCGCACCCGAGTAGGAGTTCTCCTGAATTATTCAGATTACGTCTCATCTATTCATTTATTCATCCTGGACCTCCGTCCTCTCCAATTCGAACGGAAATCTTTGTTGGTCTACCGATTTCGGATCAGATGAACCTAAACTCAACTTTTTTCTAACTTTTGTTCAGGGTCTTAACAGAAAGATGTGGAAAAGTTCTACAAACCTAATATAACACTTTTTCATGGGAATACGGTAGCTAACTTTCCAACTCCAAAAGCGTTAACATCAACTAGTTCTCGCCCGTCCCAGAAATGAAAACAAACAAACAAATTTAGCTTTTTCTCTTGGTTTCCCTCCGCGAACAAAAATCGCATTTCGCGTGGCGAACAACAAGCTTTTCTCGAAGATATATAGAATTCGAAAGGGCCAATGTTTTGTTATTTTTACAGCGTCACCTCTCATTTTTCACACGTTCATTTTTTGGGGGAAACCAACTGTTCCCGCCCCGCGATATCTGAGAAATAGCGGGTTTGCAGTGGAGAGGCTAATCGACAGCTTCTCGACTGAAAAAAAGTTCCGAAGGCGGGGCGGGTCATGATGATCCTAGCGCCGAGCATCGAGCAATCAGTTTTATTAGTCAGCTATAAATTCGTTTGTGACCGGATGAAATTGATGAGTGAGTTTCTTTGGTCCATATCTCGAGAACTAATAATTATTTCAAAATTTGATCAACTAGATTGTTGTAGGAAATTTTATGCTGATCAACCTTGTAGTTAACCATTTAGTCTTAGAACGCTTCATTTTGAAGTTACAAGCCAATTTCCAAACAGTACCCATCTATCGTAACCTCACTCCCACGCCGTTTCGCGTAGGCTGTACACAGGCACACACATAGTATACAAAAACCTCAAAAACTATGTCATAAAACCTCCAACCTTTTTCCTTTTTCTCACCTCTTTTTCATGCAAATGTCCCGCTTCGCACGCTTCAAAGCCTTCTTCTCGGTACCGTCCAACTTTTTCCCTCACTCCTTCTTCCTTTCTTTCTTCCTTTCTACTCGCGTGGGTGGGCCCGACAGTTTATTATCAGTTGTGAGGCAAAACGGTAATAATTATTGTGCGTTTCTAGATTCCCTTTTCAAATCGTTTCTACCGTTTACGACCCCCGTGGGCCGCCCGCAACAGTCACTCAAATAGACTGCCTTTACTGAAAAATGTAACGCTATAATTATCATGTCAGAGTTTTTGAGTTTTACTTGAGAGAATTATAGGTTCGGAGGTTTGATTCTGAAGAGAAATGGCCTCAAACTTTGACGATTGTTTATACATTTTAATCGTACACAAACTGATACATCTGGCAACTTTGAAATTTCTAAACAGTTTCAGAAGTTCCCCCACTTTCTTCTTATAATAATTTTGTGGTAAGCTCATTAAAAATTGTGAAGAGAACACCGTCTAATCGGATTCTCGTCTACAAACTTTCCGTGATTAAAAGTGTCCCGCCCCGCTTCACTTTCACCCCCATTTGAGTTGGATTCAGCAGTTCCATGTCACATCGTGTTAGGCGATTAAAAAAAATCCAACATGGTTTTTTTGATGGCATCAGCAGTTTTTTGCGTGCTAGTGAGCGATACGGAAATGTTCGTTTCAGATGCTCTGGTGATGCGCCACATCCTTTTTCTCACTTTTCTTCTCGGCATACCGTACTCCTGTCAGGCCGGATGCTATCAGCGAAGGTTGTGCTGTGCGGGAAGGAATAATACTTGTAAGGTGAGTGCGCGCTTTGGAATACGTCTGGAAAGTGACGTAGCTGCACTGAAATTGAAATTTCGTGATTCATATCAGAATCGCCCGAATTAGAATTAAAAATTTAAGAACTTGAACCCAATACACTTCAATTCAAGTCCAAGAAACCTGCAAAATTTCGGTGCGATCAGATTATTCCAAGTGTTGCAAAAGTCTAAGCCCAGGCTCGAAAATCCCGAACCTGGTTTCGATTTTAGCTGGCACCATCTTGACCCGGAAAACCAGATCATCTTGAACTATTCCTTCATTTTCAGGGAGTCGACGACGGAATCGGTCACTTGCCGACCGTCGCCACTTTCCACAACGAAGAGACGCAGACACTCCATCAAAGGCCCAAAGAGTACTACGTGCCGCACTACGAGTCATCGGGCGACGGCTATGATTTCGTGTTTCCTGATGTGAGTACCCTTGATCTTTCGTCGTCTGAATCCATCCTCAGGTGTACGACGATGACGACGAGAAAATCGGCAAGTTGGTCCTGCCCGACATTATCGAGATGGACGGCTCGGGCGCCGATAAAGTGTACGAGCGGTACGGTATCGGCTCGGGAGACGGCGACGGGGAGCAGCGGTCGATTCCACTGACGACCGTGGCTTCGAACATCAAGAGTTTGATTTTCGGACGGGAACGAGATCAGAAGACGGCTCCAGAAGACATCACGCGGTATAGCGAGAAGCCTAGACATCTTTTAATACGGTTTGCGTTTTATCTTCTGTTTCCTAACTCTCTTTTTAGCATTTTATGGACCTTAAAGTAGGTAAAAGAACGTTTGTGTCGTTTGAAGTGAGCTCTAACTTTGTCTACGTCCTGTCCCATCAAATCAACAGATTCCCTTTCAAATTCTACTCTTCAGATACTCGATTCTTTCCAAGTACATGCCACTAAAAGTGACGTCTTCTCCGTTGCTCTACGAGGAGAATCGTGTACAGCCAGCCGCCAATTTGTACTTTTTGGAGAGCGGAGCCAACGAGTGCTATTGCGATGAGCATTGCGTGACTCTCGGCGACTGCTGCTCCGATTACACGTTCGTCTGTCCGCGTAAGTTGTTGTACTGTGCGATAGAGGGCAGTATCAATTTGCAGCAAGAGACTGCGTCGTCACCGATTGGGACGAGTGGAGCGAATGTGCCGCCGACAATGGAACTTGCGGAATCGGAGTTCAGAAGCGTCTTCGCCACGTGGTCGAGCACGCGGAAAGGGGCGGAGCCGTGTGTCCGCCGCTCAAAGAAATGCGCACGTGTTTCGTCGATTGTAGGCCCAAAAAATCGTTGTTCGACGGTACGCCATTCTTTTTTTCACGAAAGTTTTGCTTTTTTCTATAGATATCACAACGGTGGCTCTGATTCTCGACTACAAGTACAATCAGACGAGGACAAAAGTGGGAAGGAACAATATTTATTGGGATTTGCCCACCGTCGCGGAGAAAGTTCGCACCGCATCCCAGTACGTTTATTCTCATCTTCATTTGATTTCTCACTTTTCCCAGTTACTGCGTCCATTACTCGATCGACTGGGTGAATCGCAACTGCGTTTCGCGTCTTCTGAACAAAGGACTCACGGAAGGAAGTGTGATGTGCGCCGAGTGTCAGCCAGAAGCCACGTATCACAGGAACAACGGACGGTGCGCGTCCGACTTGGAGGATGGCGATCAGGGATTCTGGAAGCTGATCGGTCCGCAGTCGTGTAACGGCATTTGGACGAGAATCAATCGGACCGATCATTGCCAGTGCCAGAGACAGTATCCGGAGGATTATCCGTTTTTGTTAGTTTAAGATTCACATTTTAGCTTGTTCTGGAAGTCTCCCTCTACCGATTCCCAGAATTATTCTTTATTCCAGTGCACAGCAGCTCCCGTTTTCCCCTCATCTTTGTATTCTTCTCTTTTCCTCCACTGCCTGTGACGTCTTGCATAATTTTCATTTTTCTCTCCATCTTTCTATGTTCCCTCTCTTTCTCTCTTTTCAAGATCTTCATCTGTATTCCACCGCGACGACCAAAATATTGCCTTCACTCACATTCGGTGAATAAATTTTTAATCAATTCTTAATTTTTAGTTAATTCATAATCATGCTCCTATTATTTTACCCGTATAATTCGAAAGTCGACTGCCACAGGATTTTCTGTGGCAGTTCCATTTCGGGATGCTCTCGGTGGTCGAACTTCCATAACCCCGGCCCGCGAAAAGTCAGTTTTTAAGGATATCTCGGGAGGAAATTTTTTGCCCAAGTTTGACCCGGTGGTAATTATTACATTCATGGGGCCTCTCAATCCCCCCCTGGTTTCATTCAATATCAGCTGTTCATAAGCACGTATGATTGTGGTAGAGCGCGATTGCAGAAAAATGCCGGCATAATGAGTGGAAGAGCGGAAGGGCAGTTCTGCAGAAGAGTATGTTGCTCTCTGTTTGTTTGCAGGACTCGTATAGGGCTGAAAATGATCTGAAACCGAAGAGACTCACTAAAAGGAGGGCTCTGAAAGCAGGAGTGATTAGTGGCGGCCCGAGAGAACGGTGTGAACGGCGGGGAAACCGAGTCTCTCCTTGTAAGTGAGCGGAAGAGCGGAAGGGCAGTTCTGCAGGAGAGTATGTTGCTCTCTGTCTGTTTGCAGGACTCGTATAGGGCTGAAAAATGATCTGAAACCGAAGAGACTCACTAAAAAGGAGGGCTCTGAAAGCAGGAGTGATTAGTGGCGGCCCGAGAGAACGGTGTGAACGGCGGGGAAACCGAGTCTCTCCTTGTAAGTGAGCGGAAGAGCGGAAGGGCAGTTCTGCAGGAGAGTATGTTGCTCTCTGTCTGTTTGCAGGACTCGTATAGGGCTGAAAATGATCTGAAACCGAAGAGACTCACTAAAAAGGAGGGCTCTGAAAGCAGGAGTGATTAGTGGCGGCCCGAGAGAACGGTGTGAACGGCGGGGAAACCGAGTCTCTCCTTGTAAGTGAGCGGAAGAGCGGAAGGGCAGTTCTGCAGGAGAGTATGTTGCTCTCTGTCTGTTTGCAGGACTCGTATAGGGCTGAAAATGATCTGAAACCGAAGAGACTCACTAAAAGGAGGGCTCTGAAAGCAGGAGTGATTAGTGGCGGCCCGAGAGAACGGTGTGAACGGCGGGGAAACCGAGTCTCTCCTTGTAAGTGAGCGGAAGAGCGGAAGGGCAGTTCTGCAGGAGAGTATGTTGCTCTCTGTCTGTTTGCAGGACTCGTATAGGGCTGAAAATGATCTGAAACCGAAGAGACTCACTAAAAAGGAGGGCTCTGAAAGCAGGAGTGATTAGTGGCGGCCCGAGAGAACGGTGTGAACGGCGGGGAAACCGAGTCTCTCCTTGTAAGTGAGCGGAAGAGCGGAAGGGCAGTTCTGCAGGAGAGTATGTTGCTCTCTGTCTGTTTGCAGGACTCGTATAGGGCTGAAAATGATCTGAAACCGAAGAGACTCACTAAAAAGGAGGGCTCTGAAAGCAGGAGTGATTAGTGGCGGCCCGAGAGAACGGTGTGAACGGCGGGGAAACCGAGTCTCTCCTTGTAAGTGAGCGGAAGAGCGGAAGGGCAGTTCTGCAGGAGAGTATGTTGCTCTCTGTCTGTTTGCAGGACTCGTATAGGGCTGAAAATGATCTGAAACCGAAGAGACTCACTAAAAGGAGGGCTCTGAAAGCAGGAGTGATTAGTGGCGGCCCTGAGAGAACGGTGTGAACGGCGGGGAAACCGAGTCTCTCCTTGTAAGTGAGCGGAAGAGCGGAAGGGCAGTTCTGCAGGAGAGTATGTTGCTCTCTGTCTGTTTGCAGGACTCGTATAGGGCTGAAAAATGATCTGAAACCGAAGAGACTCACTAAAAAGGAGGGCTCTGAAAGCAGGAGTGATTAGTGGCGGCCCGAGAGAACGGTGTGAACGGCGGGGAAACCGAGTCTCTCCTTGTAAGTGAGCGGAAGAGCGGAAGGGCAGTTCTGCAGGAGAGTATGTTGCTCTCTGTCTGTTTGCAGGACTCGTATAGGGCTGAAAATGATCTGAAACCGAAGAGACTCACTAAAAAGGAGGGCTCTGAAAGCAGGAGTGATTAGTGACGGCCCGAGAGAACGGTGTGAACGGCGGGGAAACCGAGTCTCTCCTTGTAAGTGAGCGGAAGAGCGGAAGGGCAGTTCTGCAGGAGAGTATGTTGCTCTCTGTCTGTTTGCAGGACTCGTATAGGGCTGAAAATGATCTGAAACCGAAGAGAATCACGAAAAGGAGGGCTCTGAAAGCAGGAGTGATTAGTGGCGGCCCGAGAGAACGGTGTGAACGGCGGGGGAAACCGAGTCTCTCCTTGTAAGTGAGCGGAAGAGCGGAAGGGCAGTTCTGCAGGAGAGTATGTTGCTCTCTGTCTGTTTGCAGGACTCGTATAGGGCTGAAAATGATCTGAAACCGAAGAGACTCACTAAAAAGGAGGGCTCTGAAAGCAGGAGTGATTAGTGGCGGCCCGAGAGAACGGTGTGAACGGCGGGGAAACCGAGTCTCTCCTTGTAAGTGAGCGGAAGAGCGGAAGGGCAGTTCTGCAGGAGAGTATGTTGCTCTCTGTCTGTTTGCAGGACTCGTATAGGGCTGAAAAATGATCTGAAACCGAAGAGACTCACTAAAAAGGAGGGCTCTGAAAGCAGGAGTGATTAGTGGCGGCCCGAGAGAACGGTGTGAACGGCGGGGAAACCGAGTCTCTCCTTGTAAGTGAGCGGAAGAGCGGAAGGGCAGTTCTGCAGGAGAGTATGTTGCTCTCTGTCTGTTTGCAGGACTCGTATAGGGCTGAAAATGATCTGAAACCGAAGAGACTCACTAAAAGGAGGGCTCTGAAAGCAGGAGTGATTAGTGACGGCCCGAGAGAACGGTGTGAACGGCGGGGAAACCGAGTCTCTCCTTGTAAGTGAGCGGAAGAGCGGAAGGGCAGTTCTGCCAAGCGTCGCTCATCACCCTTTGGCCGATTTTATGCCCATTTTCTCCTATGGATGAAGCGATGGGCGAACGATGGCTCATCGATGGGCCATTTTCGACCCACATCCATTGTTAGCCCATAGTTCATCCGTTGCAATCTGCTTGGGCATGGGCGTCCCGGTGGCGCAACGGTTGCGCACGGGCTTCGATTTGAATGGTCGAAGTTTCGGTCCTGATGATAAGACGGACGCGCGATGAAGTTCCTGAGACGCTTCACGAAAAACGTGCTGATATGTCCTCCATCTGAAGGCGCGGGACGTTAATTTTTCACCTTTTGCTGCATATTTGGCGACATTCGAATCGGAGTTGGCAGCGAGCCAAGGACACGATAATTGATCAACCCGCAAGCGGTTTATCAATCCGCGACTAACCGGCTCGCGGGTTGACATATCATTCGTCTATCATTGGTGAGGGCTATATAATTGATCAATCGCAGTTCACCTGTGGCGATTAATGCATCCTGAGTACTCTATTAATTAATCGCGGGCCGATTGACCGTTTATATTGGCCAATCATACGCCAATCGCGAGCCATTTATCAATTGATATCACTAACAATTGATAAACCAGCAAGCGGTTGATCAACCCGCGAGTTTCCGGCTCGCGGATTGATGAATGATTCGTCAACCATTAATCCCCACGTATAATTGATCAACCGCAGTTCGCATGTGTATGAAAAAATGGTCTAGAAAGAGAGTGCGCACCAACCCGTTGGTGGAAATAAAAGTAATGGACAGTTCTTTTGCAAAAGAAACAACACCAGAAGTTTTCGAGTAGCCTCTGAAAGTCGGTTGGTGAAGTGATCGGACGGCCGTGTTATTGTTTGGTCCTGAAGTTCTTTGCGCACATCAAGAAGTTTTTCAAGTCTTGGTCAATGTCTAGACATATATATGTCTGGCATCTCTTGAACTGTCGCAAACTTGCTGAGAACGTTGGCAGCAGCTGGGTTCAACGCTCTTTTCGGAGGCTTCCTTCATTTAATCTGCTCGTGTCTTGCGACGTTTGTGTTTTTGTGCAGGTTGCTGCGAAGGAGACGGTGGTCGCAACCGTTTGTGAAAGATGGAAGCACCGAGGCATCACCAGTCGAAATCAGAAAAGTAGGGAAACGTCAGAACGGATGGCAGGAATCTTCTGTTTTCTGTGTAAAGGTAAGATGAAAATGGATACTGAGACTTGTAATTCCTTAAGTTTGAAGAAAATATGACTCTCAAATAAATGTGCTATACTTTCCACTTTTTTGTGCTTTCAAATTAACTTTCTCTTCAAATCTGCACTTTTTCAAAGCATATTGCCGCTCTCACAAGATGTGTCAGTTCTCTGAGATAATTAAGGCGGTACAACATAATAGGACTGGGCAAAATATAATTGCGACACAATATTATATATAACCCATATATGGGCATCTCACAAAAATAGTTGTTCGCAATCTGGCCGACGCTATCAAAAAAGAAGTTTCGCACAAATTCTCAAAAATTCAATATGGCTTTCTAAGCGCTAGATCCTGCACACTCACATTTCTTGAATCCTCCTCTGAAATTCAGAGAATACCTTCGCACAAAGGTTGTCGATGCCATTTATTTTGATTTTAGAAAAGCGTTGGATACTGTCGCCCATAACTTGCTACTAGCTAAACTTCTTAATTTCGGAGTAGACCCCAAAACATGTAAATGGCTCAACTCCTTTCTTGAAAACCGAACTTCAAAGGTAAAAATCAATAACTTCGTTTCTCGCAACTCGCTAAAAATTCTGTCGGGGGTGCCTCAAGGTTCCGTATCTGGCCCCTTTCTCTTCCTCGTTTGTATTAACGATCTTCGTGAAAGTTTTCCTCGTT